GAAAGATGAATCTTAAAAATATTCTCGGGGATCCCTTTACTACATGCAGTCCCCTTCATAGTGGACTTTTTGAGACACTTAAGTTGATCTGCAACGAGAAAGCGCTTAAGTCCAACTTGTACAAAGTTCTCTTCACGTTGCAACTGATACTCTTGTCATTGCGCCAATATCAGTTTTATCTGGATTGAATATAGTTCTTTGTAGCTCTTTGTTATTCATCAGTGCACCAGAAAAACTGAGCTTCTAATGATACTGCCTGATACCAAGTGTAAACAATGTGCCTGAAAAAGAAAAAAAAAACTATTATTACTTTAGTCTTGTTAAGTGGCTAACAGTGAGACTATAAGATAGGATGTAAGTAACAGTGTGTAACTGTCTGCACTCTGCCAGGAAATAAACAAAGGCCGAAAATGAAAACTTATTAGCTGTTGCTGCGGCGATCTGTCCAGGACAAGCTGAAGAAGCAAGGGCCTGTAGGCGCTGCTCAGAGCTTGCTCGGGCAGCCATGGGACGGCACACTTTCTAGAATGAATAAATGAACGGAGACAGCAGTCCTTGTACGTGTGCCTCGGTCGACCAGGATAAAGTATCATTGTGCTAAGCTCACCAGCAGCTGTGGGGGGTTGGCGAACCGCGCTGCTCTGGGGAAGCTGGGAAAGTTAGGTTCGGTACAGCACTGCTTAAAACTTGATGGGGGGCCTCAGGAGGACACACTTGCCTAGAATCAACAAAGACGGCACAAGTGGTAAGTGAGCCTCAGTTGACCTGGAAAGAGTATCAGACTGCCAAACTCAACAACAGCTGTGGTCACTGCGGCAGATTGCCCCGAGGGAAAAGCTCCGCTTGGACCTTGCTGGGGGCCCTCGGGAGTACACACACTCCTAGAATGGACAGAGATGGCACTAGTGCTAGATAGGCCTCGGTCGACCACGAAACAGTATCGGACAGCCAAACTAAAGAGCAGCTGCGGTTGCTGCAGCAGTCTGTCCTGGGGATGTTTCAGTACTGTGGGAACTACCTTGTGGTGTACTATCCAAGTTTTGCTGGGGGTGCCTCGGGGACTTTAGGGAGGCAAACCAAAACAAGCAAATGGAACTGCATTTTGTAAAAGAGACACCCAAAATAATCAGTTTGTGCATTGAATTTGTATCATAAAACTGATGCAACGTGTCTCACTAGAAAAAAAAAATATATATATATATATATAGGGTGTTTTATTTTAAGCTTAACAGATTTGTTTAAAAAGGCCGTGAAAGTTACACTTATGCCGGTTGTGGAGGTCAGTTATACGGCCAGGGGGACATATTATAGGGGGATAATCGTAACGATCAGTCGTCTAATTAATTAAAATTCGTTAATTAACTTTTTAATTAATGAAAATAGACATATGGTTCCAATTAGTAACTTGCTCAGCGTCATCGAAAACCACTAAATCAGTCATTTTCAGAAAGACTTTGAGTGCGTGAGAAGCGCAGAAGTGCGCTAAAGTTACCGCTCGTGGAGCAGGTACAAGGCTGGGGCTAGATAAGAGACGGAAAAATCGCGCGGGCGCCTTATCGCAACCGCTAGCTTTGTACCTGCTCCACGAGTGGTAACTTTAGTGCACTACTACGCCTCTCACGCACTCAAAGTCTTTCTGAAAATTACTGATTTAGTGGTTTTCGATGACGCTGAGCAAGTTTGTAATTGGAACCATATGTCTATTTTCATGAATTAAAAAGTTAATTAACAAATTTTAATTAATTATCTGACTGATCGTTACGATTAGCCCCCTATAATATGTCCCCCTGGCCGTATAACTCACCTCCACAAGCGCCATAAGTGTAACTTTCATGGCTTTTTTAAACAAATCTGTTAAGCTTAAAAAAAAACACCCTATTTATATATATATATATATATTGTGAGACGTTGTATATAGCATTTACATTTCCAGTTCCCTTGCAGTGGTGGTTTACTCTCATGGTGGAAGGTAACGAAAAAAGAAATGTTTGGGAGAGCATCTTTCCTCAATTTCTTGCTCTCCTTTGTTTTGCATGATTAGCGCTTTGAATTGGTCGATACTGAAGTGGTCCTGTAGTAGACTGAAGATATCGTACTTTAGTCGAGAGCACATCGTGTAACGCCACCTCAAACGCCCGTTTCTGCAGATCCTAGGTTAGCCTACCAAAGAACTGCACGTGAAGTTTGCGCGCTGTGAAAGCTGCTGGCGCGAGTGTGGGGTTGATTTGAAATGTTTTATTTGCTTGCGTTTTTCGTTTCAGCAAGACTACGAGCGAAGGAGACCCTATTGACGCTACGAGAGCGAGCGCACTTTGAGCGGGCTAAGCACATACGCTCGTCCAGTAAGAGCGTCGTCAGAGAAAACATACTGCTTGCCGCACTGGCTGGATACAGGCCAAGGCTCGGGTCCGTAGCTGCGGCAGCGTTGCAAGCTATGTGTGCGAAACGAAGTATGATCCGCGAGCACGTATACGCAACACTTGCCGAGAGTGCGTACTCGGCACGCACCCGTAATTTGGAGCGACGCCGATGCCACAAGCACGAGCAGGAGCAGGCCGTTTGAACGACTTAAGGCCCCGACGCACAGTTGCGTTTGAGAGCGTTTCACTGCGTTGCGACTACGAAAACGCAGGACATCCATACTTATTTTACCGCGTGCCAAGCAATCCCTTGAATTGGATTCCACGCTTCATACGAAGCACATATATGCCGGTGACTCACTTTCGTTTCTCGACGCGGCAGTCAAACGCTCTCAAACGCAACTGTGCGTAGGGGATTTTACTTCCACGGCACGAGCGTACGTGCATGCAGAGTTGGCAGTGATGTGCTCGCTATTACATCGCTCGCGTTTACGGTGGAATGAAATGCATAACTCACTCTAAGCAGCTGTCTTTTGCATGCTAATGAGTATACAGAGCACCTACCTCGCATAACTTTACGGCTCCCGTCGGGTCGAAATCTTTTCGACCGATTCGGTGAAGCAAGATTTTCCTTTGAGGTTCATTTTCCGTTTCAGAGAGAACACTGAAAAGCTTTCCGGTCGACTTTTCTACGGGCGCAGCAGCCCGCTAGCTGCGGCGTAGCAACATCTTGGGAAATTCATGACGACCGAAAGCCAGATGTCACGTGACGACTGGCCAATAGTGTGCGCGGCGGCTAGTTCAAAGAATGGCGCCACTTTTCGCAGGATGGAGGGGCTTTAGCTTACCGCAGAGCCGTGTATTGGGAGAGTTTGGCCAATAGGCGGAGCAAAAGCCGCCGCCAGCGCCGAATATTCCCCCCACGCTTAGAGCGTAAACTAAATTTGTGACACGGCGTTAATCAATCAGGAGACCGCGACGTCACAATATTGCAAACGACATTTAAAGCGTGAAATAGAAGCGTTCAATCTCGGCCACTCTCTACTCCATCTCGCAAATGTCGGCAGTGAAGACAAAGGCACAGGCGCGTGAGCCTAGCTCAGCAAAACGCTTTTCTTTGTACAAGAACTCATGCATAGGAGGCACTTTCCAAAGCCACGTGCTCGTGCTTATGCCTTTGTCTGCACTGCTGATGTGTGTTCGCTCTGGGCCGGCTTGCTAAAACAGCGTCCTGAGACTGGCTGAAAGAAAACAGTGCAAAGAGTGGGGCGCGCGGGCGTCTTGAGGCGCGGAGTCCCGCTCGGCTCACGCGCTGGCTTTGGCAGTGCTTTCTTTCCCCGTCTCAGCTGAGACGCTGTTTCTATACTCCGTTTCACACTTAGCGTGCAACGCTGCCAAAGCTACTGGCGCGAGCGCGTGGCTTCATCTATGGTTTTGTTTGCGCGAGAACGCGTGCAAATGATCAACGAGATCAAGCCCCATGCTAGCGCCAAAAGCTTTGACAGCGTTGCACGCTAAGTGTGAAACAGAGTATAGCAAGTGGGCCCTGGTTTGGAGCGCACGTTCGTTTATTCTACACTTGAATATCGGCGTGACTAAAACCTCACATGCCCAAAGTTTTCAGTCACCGAGAGCTATACCTTTTCAGTCTAGCGACGCTAAAACGGCTTAAATTAGTCGTGTCACAAATTTAGAGCACACGACCACCGCTAGGGGCTGTTTCGCGGCCTGTGGTTGGCCCCGAGGTGCTCGCCTATTCAAACCAATGTATGGCCAAACTCTCTCAATAAACAGCTCTGGCTTGCCGTCGTTCGACGCCCTATCTAGATTTTCGTTTCATAACTGTGCGTTCCAAAGAGCAGAGTTGAAGCGCCATCTAGGCGCCGTGCTTCGAAACGTACGTATTCCATAGAATTGCATAGAATACACTGCACTTACCAAAGCAGCCGTTCGGCGCGTCGAGCGACGCCAGGCGAGTCGTGGTGGGTGAAGGGGGGAGGGGGGCACTGTTGGGGCTTGCACAGTCTATGAGCAGTTCCGTAACTGAGCAAATCTAATAACGTTGGCACCAACTCAACCCTCTTACGTCACGTCACTGCGGTGGCGCTGCTGTCGGTACTGCGGATGCGCGGATGCTTCATTTCACGCGAATATAGTTTCTGCGCACGCGCAGTGCCCGCACTTGCTGGGGCACATGAGGGCTTGTTCTGTAAACAATGTGCTGCCATCTTTGTCTGTTGGGCTGTGAAACATTTTCTGGGCATGCGCTGTAGCTCTGTTGTGCCGTATATCGGACGCTGCGCATGCACTTACAGCTCAGTGACTCAGCACTTTTCGCGCAAAGTTCTATGACCGACTTAATTTTTCGCGCACAGGAATTGTGCCGTGTTCCGGCGCCTTCTCCTGCGCGTGATATTGTTACAAAAATGCTAGGATTTTTTTTTTTGTGATCTTACAATATAATGACTCCTAACTGGTGCTCTCAATTTCGAGAGTAAATGCTACTGTACCCATACACTTTTTGGTTAAGAGTGATGTTAACGGTTTTCAGGCTCGTTTCAAATAAGACCCCGTATTCGTGTATCTTCGTAGTTTTAGTTTTAGCAACCACGCTTGATATGACTTTGTTTCTACTTCCAGGAAGAAACGGATTACTCCGAATGATCGAAAGGTTCGGTATCTCATTCTGATGCTATCTCCTAGTTTTTACCGTATTTGCTTTTACTTGGTTCGTATCGCTATCTCGTGACCCTTCGAAAGATATGCAATCTACTTGGTCACCCACTCGACAATCTTGCCGATGTAATCCTATGCAATCCACCATAAAGTATAATAATGAAGCACCATTTTATAAAGTCTGATCTCTGATAAAATATACTCTGAATTTCTCTAATATCATGGAATCAACGACATTGATGGTGTAACGTTCACTTTGAACGGTGAACGTTACACAGTTAATACCGTTGTATCAAGGAATGTAAAGAGGACAGTTTTGGGTTAAAATGCATTGAATTGTAGTTATGTGAAATAAATGATAAATTTTGCAAACTTCCTTTACGCTCTTTGTGAAATACTGCTGACGTAGAAGACTTTATATAATACAAGACACTTAACATCACGCAAGTATTAAAAACGTCAAGCGATACTGCAATTAATCAAATAATTTTGGGTATTATGTATCACATTTTCAATATATTTTAGTCTTTAATGATGCAACTTTGTACCTGAAGTTTTTCTTAAATTTTCAATGCCAGCCGTATCACTAAGGATGATGTTTTTTTTCTGTGAATACGCAAGGAAATAAAAAATTACACTTCGGAGTAAGGTAATTAAGTGGGGTATACCACGGAACATCTACTAGATTTAGTTTTCATTTTCCAGCGTCTCGAAAATATTAAACACTCTTGTACGGTTGAAGAAGCAACATCCAATCACGAAGTCATTCTTGCTGAGTTTCGCATTGTCCATAACAGGCTTAACAGGCTTAAGCTGAGCTAGTTGGTTCATACTTGAGGTAAGGCCAGTTGAAATAGAATAAACAGACCAGCGGTGTGTATGGTCTTTTCTTTATGTTTATGTTTATTCTAGTTCAGCTGGACTTACCCGAAGAACTACCTTTAACATTGTCCCACTAACTGTACAGGAACGCCGTACTCTCTAGCCGCCTCGGTGGCTCCGAGGCGAGAGCGCCGGCCTACGGATCCCCAGGTGGCGGGTTCGAATCCCGACCGAGGTGCCCGCAATATGGCGGAGGCTCATTGCGGAGAAGGCGCCGTGTAACCGAGCTTTCGGTTGCACGTCAAAAGATCCCCAGGTGGTCGAAATTAATCCTCAGTCCTCCGCTGGGGCGTGCCAGATGCCCGTCGTAGGTTTGGCACGTAAAACCCCCAAATTTGACTTTTTTCGTACTCTCTGGTATCACGAGTTTTCGAGAGCGAATGATGACTGTGTCCCAGAGTTGCTAGAAACTTGTTTCGATGAATTCACAAAAATTAATTTTCCTCCTGGCACCGATATTTATATGTTGTGGAATATGTTTGAGGTAAAGGAATACTTACATGGCGTTGTACTTATGGTAAAGAAACGTTCTAAAAAGTAAAACCCATGGATTCAAAGTGAAATTATTCATCTTAAACGATAAATTTCACGAACTCGGAAATCAAGTGCGAAAATACTTCGCTCATTCTTGAGAAGCTTGAGTAAAACTTTGGGTCTCAGATACGTAAGGCTAAGTTCGTCTGCTACAACTTCACCCTTCACAACTTCTTAAAGTGTGAATCGCTAAAAGTTTAAAGACACTTATCTTCTGAAGGTGCCCATATTGCTAAAATGCATGTAAATGACGGAATTATCTCCGATTCTGTACTAATGGCATCGTGGTTTAGTCACTTTTTGGCTCCGTTTTCATCGAGGATAGTGGCGCTTGTCTGGCCGCTTCGCTGTTTACTGATTACGGCATTCATGACATTAAAGTAATCAACGAAGGTATTTTATCTCTTTCGCTTAACTTCGATGATAAAAAGTCACAGGGCTCTGATAACATTCCTGAAACACTTTTAAAACTATAGGCCGAATGCTGTTCAAGTTTTTTTTATTTTTTATTATTATTCTCGCGATTCTTATCAGATGTAGCTGTTCCCGATTAGTGGAAAGCTGCAAAGGCAAATGTTTACAGATCGGGGGATCCGTTATCACTGAAAACATTAGGTGTCTACATAATTTTTTGTCGTCATGTGCTAAGACTCTTGAACATATTCTGCTTAAGCATATATATATATATATTTTCCTGAAACCGAGAATTTCTTTTGCCTTGCATGAATTCCGGCTCGGCCTTTCAACAGCTACGCAGCTGGTTAAAATGATGCATCATATTGCTATAAAGTACTAGACCGAGAAGGACAAGATGATATTATATTTTTCGATTACTCGAAAGCGTTCAACCGGCTTTCTCACCCTAAACTACTGTTAAAACTTGCACTTATCCTAAACATTCAAAAATGACTTCATGGCTTGAAGATCACTTAACGGCTCGTCGATGTTTCGTTTCTTTGGGTGGGGCCTGTTCTGAGCCGGCTGACATTTTGTCAGGAGTCCCCCGGGGCTCTATCTTTGGACCACTTTTATTTCTTATCTTTACTAATGAGGTTCAAAGCTTCGTTGGTGTCGACACGAGGTTGTATGCTGATGACCGTACTTTGTCTTAATTAAACACCGTAAACGATCAGCGGTTACTTAACCGCTCTCTAGAACGGCTGTCCGAGTGGTACTCGGCCTGGCAGTTGCCACTCAATATTTAAAAAAAAGTGTTCCAATTACATTTTATAGAAACGTTTCGACATTTAGTTCGTCTATGTTAAAAATAAATTTTCTGCAAATTGTCGCCACGTACTAATACCCGGCAGTGTTGTTTTCGACCGATTTAAAGTAGAATGTACTCGTTGAATATGTTGTTCGCAAAGCTTACGGCAAACTTTGATACATAAAGCGTAATTTAATGCACAGTTATTTTGATATAAAACTCATTGCTATGATGAAACCTCTTTTAGAGTATGCTTCGCAAGCTTTGGATCCACACATAGCTACTAACATTCACAAATCAGAGAAGGTGCACATATTTGCATCGCGCTTCATATACAACAAATACAACCAAAACGAATCTGTTGCCCACTTTATAAAATCGCTCAAATTGATTTTTTATCGACTGGGCGTCGTAGAGCGGGACTATAATTTTTATACTGTATGTTAAACGGTGACTTTAGTATAGACACTACAATGTATTGCATTCCCAGACTTGTTCGTGCCACAAGAAATCTTCATAATAGGAGTAGTGTAACATCGAGGGATGGAATAGACTTTCTGAAGCATAGAGGTATTATAATGTACGCTGGACGTTCAACTGGTGCTAGTGTGCTGTGGTAAATTGAAGCCGACAGCAACTAGTCGGAAATTGACTTCCGGTAATACATTTCTGTGGGGAAAAAGCGAGCGCATTTTTTCTATGCGCTTGATTATAAGAGCAAATATCACGAATACTTCATACGTACTATAGTAGATTGGAACATTTCTCAGTCATGCAGCGAAAATAATTGGTCAGTTGTGGCGTTTTTCTTTCAAATTCGCGACATTAAAAACGCTGATAAAACGGCTTCGTACATGTCAACGTTACTAAAAGAACTCGGTTGGGGAACTGCCATGGAGCCTGCTCTGAAGAAGTGGCACCGATCCGTACTCGAGAACCGAACTCATGGCGATCGCAACGCCGCCATTTCTCCAGCCGCGGCCACTCGGGAAACTGCACGGCAGCTTGTAATGGTTCGGGAGTATCGCATTCGATAGCGTCCACTGTTACTGTGCTATTTTGGCTTTAATCTGCCATTTTGGTGCCAAAATATATACAGTGGAAGGGGGCTGCCAAACCGTGTCTCCTAATCGGACGCGCCGCGATTATTTACCGAAGTTAGGACGCACCCAGGTCAGGACGCCTACCGGTGAGACGCGGCTGTATAAAGACATTATTTGTGCCGAAAAACCCTGTAAACTAAAATTGTATGCAAACATCACGCTCCCCTGTCATTTTCTACAAATCTCCAATAAAAGTTCGGGGGGATCGGTGGCCGAGTGAGCTAAAGCGCACACCCAGCTCGCCGCGTGTGGAGCGAAAGCTCACGCTGCAGAGCCCAGGGATCCTGGGTTCGAGCCCCACCTCTGCCCGTTTCGATCTGGATGAGCATCGTACCGGCGTGCGGTCGTGTATCACTACTGCGTGAGCACGTTAAAGACCCCCCAGCTTAGCAGTCGCACTGCACTGGCTAAATTGCTCATCTACAGCTGAGACACCGGACGCCCACTGAGGCAGACTAACTTCGGGCTGTATAAACATACACACAACAATTTACTTTGCAATAAAAGTTCCAACAAAAGGAGCTTTTCCGTTTGCTTTTACGCAAAAACATGCTTTTTAAGAGCTCATAATGACCACAGCAAGAAAAAAAAAAAAAAAAGAATGAATTGTTATTTTGATATTTCGAGCCTGGGAGTTTCGGTACTATGGGAACATTCAATGACTCTAGCAGTAGCCATATAAAGCAAATTTTATGTTTCAACTCGTCGCTAAAGGGTGGCGCTGCTAATATTTCGGTGGACACCGAGATATTAGCCCAGGCTTCAAGGGTGAGTTTCCCAACTGAGTGTTTTAGTAGCGTTGGTACATGTATTTGTGTGCACTGTCGGACACTGTTAGTGCGAACACGGCGTCGGCGCTTTTTAGCATGGGGGATACACGTGCCAGACGAACGAAGGACACGTGGAAAACCAAGATAGACGGCAAGAACTACGCTGTAACACCGGATCATTAACTGCGTGTGCATGCATACGATCAAAATAAATTGAAGGTCATGCAGTATAGTCCGATTTGCAATATATAGGTATTGCTTTATTCTTTCTGCTCATGTATATGTGCGAAGATGCTCGTTTTGCGTGCAAAACATCACCCGCACCCTCGATATCTTTGAAAAAAAAAAGTGAGAAGCCAGAGAACAGGTACCCATAAAAGCTGACCGACATAGAAAATTATAAAGAGAAACATCTTTCATAACTCACATACTTTATTCTTAAGTTTCGAATGTTTTTTAACCGCACTTGTAAAGATGCACGACATAGTCATTTTTATATAGTGTCAGGACGGGCATATTAGCAATATAAGCACCACCGGATTGCTGGCGAACCTTGAACACACTATTTATTCCTCTCGATTGTTATTTTACTTAGAATCGTTGCTCGTTTTACCTACCTGCTATGGAAGAGAGGTTTGGGCCTGAAATATAGCGAAGTTTAGCATCGTTCAGTGGTAAATAATAAAGCTGTCACTAAAGCGATTACACTTTTACGATGGTAATAAAGGTACAAACTATTCGGTATGACCCAAATAACAAAAGTTATATATGTTATTTTCTTGCGATGAGGCAAAATTCACCCGGGTTTTCCCATAGGAATGCACACCTCGAAACTAGACTGGTTGCTGTCTGCTTCAATTTGCAACCCAGTGCCAGTTGAACCTCTAGCATATATTATAACTCTATGTTATAAAACACGTATAAATTTTAGATTAGCTGATTTATTTGTCAACGCTTTTGAATGTTGTTCGTGAAAAGGTTTTTGATCATGATTATTATTGGCCCACTTCTGCGTATATTTCTACTAAAAATTGTCACGTCTTTCTTTTGTTTATTGTATAACTTCTCATTACTTTTTAAACCCCTCCCGCCACAACCTTGAAAAGTAAGTTAGCAGTATGTGTAAATAACTAGATACATGAATAAATCACACACCTTCGGAGGTAGCAGTAGGACACTTTCATTGAACTGCCCAGAAAAGATAAATTATGAAATCCTGAAAAATTAACCAAGGAAATAAAAACCGCGGATGACTCGCTTATAAACTATCACATATCGTAAAAATGACACTCTGTATTTCTGACTCGCACGCACACAAAAAATATCTATATATTCTAAGAGCGTCAGAATTAAAAACAGCGCGAAAAGTCGAGGACCAGACAAAGAAGTAACACGGACGCAGCGCTGCGTCCGTGTTTTCTAAGAGCGATACGAAACCGCTGGAATTTTGCTTTTATTAGACTCTCGTTGCTTTTTCACTGACGGATAGTAGTTCGGCAGTGTTTAAAATTCGAAAAGTGTTATCACAGTGCTTGACGGTATTGACGTAATAAAATATGAAGTAATAAAGGTCTAAATTAGATAATTTAATTTACCAAATCATATTTATTACATTGGCATGCTGTTCGGTGGCTATCCCTCTTGATCCGCTCTCGAACCACGACCACCGATCCAGATGGTGTACGTGAAGATCCTCCAAGACGCTCTGAACAACCAAGACTCGAGTCCCAACAGCGCCCTGATGGTGACGCCTGACGTGGACACGGGCTGGTTCCTGGTCTCCTTCCACGTCTGGGTCAGGCACGACCACAAGCCCCTCACTGACGCCGTCAAGCGCTTCCCCAAGCCGGGCGCCACCTACTTCGTCCAGGGAGGGAGCGGCACGCTCTGACTACCCCTTCGCGGCAAGCGGCAAAAATCGAACACGCGGACCTTTCATGAATAAACTCTCAATTTTCGAGTAAACCTCCTCAAGTAAATGTCACCTCGATAATACCTAAAATAAAATGACTCAAGCAAAAAAAAAAAAAAAAATAAACAATAAAAATAAAATAAAAGGGGGGAGGGGGGTTAAGCCTGCGTATGTGGATATATACGACGGCTGTTCTTTAATTTCCTATAGGCTGAGTAAAAGTGAAACGCGTTTACAAATCTATGTAATGCGAAATTAGAGCGCAGCTCTTGAGGAGGAGGAGTGGAGGGTACGAAGGGGAGTGTATGCCCCTCCTCCTCCTCCCATCTTCCTTCTCCTCCTCCTCCATCCCCTCCTCCTCCAATTCAGTTTTCCCGCTAAATTTTGTGGGGAAAATGATGTCCCGTGACTTGGTGCCACGTCACCTATGAAGAAATTCAGTTTTTCCGCTCAATCTAGCGAAAAACTTAATTTGTCCGCTAAATCAAGCGGAGAAACACAGTTTCCCAGCTAGATTTAGCAAGAAAACTACTTGGTGTTGAGGTCACGTAGCGGGGAATTGAATTGCTGTTTAGGTCACGTGAGGTTCATTTTCCCGCTAAATCTAGCAGAGAAACTGAATTTGTCCGCCAAATGTATCGGAGAACCAAAATTTTCCCGCTAAATTTAGCAGGGAATTGAATTGGTGTTGGGATCATGTGACGTCAATTTTGCTTCTAAATCTAGCGAGGTTGAAGGCGCATTCTCACTACAAAAAAATGCGCTACGTGGGGTGAGTTTTTTTTGCTTGTTTTTGTATTGAAAAAAGTCGCGCGCCGAGGAGGACGTTGCAAGGAGGTGACGTTTCTGGACCCAATGGTTTCCTCGACGCGCGCGCTTGAGCCAAGCAGCGAGCGACCGGACGTGACCTGTTGCCTCTTTCCGGTTTGGACATGTTTTCGATGTTTTTATATTCGATCCACAAGGAAGGTGAAAAGGCAGAGGGGTTGAAGGATTCATGCAGTCGCCAAATGTGGCTGGAAGCATTTCAGCGTGGAGAGAAGCAAGGCGTTTGTAACATCCGATTGTAAGCAGTGTTTTATGTGCCTGTACGATGCCTTGAAACTACTCTTCATCTTCTGCGCGAAAGCCGCCAACGAAGTTCGCAGTGCGTTCCAACCTCCGACTGCGCGGAAGCGACAACTCCCAATGTGTTTTGTGTATTCTTTGTGTGCGCGCCACCACTACGAAATACAACAGTTCTCCTTCGAGAACAGTCGCACAAGTTGCGTGCACTGTTAAAGGTACGAACGCGCGGGCGTAGCACCGTGCTTTGTTTGCATAATAAAAAGTTTTAGTAGATCGTTCCCATGACTCCGATAACGATACCCGATACTCCGCCACCGCCTCCCTTGCGCATGCATAGTATCGTTATCGGGGATATCGGAGGTATCGGAACGATCTACTAAAACTCTCTAATAACGCGGCAAAAGAGTACCTTCTGAAGCTGCCCGTTCGAGTCCGTGCCTTTCGCATATGCTGCATACAACCGGAATGTAAACGTATTTAGTATAATCATCGCCGTTGTCTATTCAGTGAAGACGGTTGTCTCCGAACGCATATGCAATCGGGAAGGCAAGGCAACAACACTCGTACGAAGCAGCCGAGTAAAAAAAATCGCTGTTTTCTCGACAAACGCGAGGTTCACCGAGAAGACGCCGACATCGGATGGCACTGTGTAACTGCTTTGTCGTTTTCGACGCCGGCGTCGACGTGGACCGCAACGCGCGTTTTTTTGCTCTGTGTGAATGCGCCGACGCCGCGAAACACGGAAACGGGCGCGTAAGAGCTGTGCTCTAAAAAGTAATGAAACTATTTTAATATACACAGACTGTGGATCCGTACTCTGCCTATATACTTGTTGACGCAAGTAATCAATACAAAAATTACAGAGCATCAAATTAATGGTCGAGGCAAATTTATAGAAACCACAGGGGTGATTGCGAACAACGCGACAGCATTGATCGTTGCACACCACCAAATTTAGCGAGAAACTGAATTGTTACATAGATCGTGACGTCAAATTTGTTTTTGCTAAATTTAGCGGGGAAACTTCCCGCTGGGAAACTTCCCGCTAAATCCATGTTGTCCTTGAGATCACTCTAAAGGTCGTCCTTAAGGTCGTCCTAGACGTCGTTCCTAACGTCGTCCTCTAGGATATCGTCCTCGACATCGTCCTATACGACATCAGGGACGACGTCGAGGACGGCATTATAGAGGAGGACGTCAAAGATGACGCCTAGGGCAACATCTAAGACGACCTTCAGGGTGATCTCAGGGACAACCTCTAGGGCGACATCAAGGATGACGTCGAGGACGACGTCCTAGGGGACGACGTAGAAGACGACGTCTAGGACGACATCAAGGTCGTCAGGTCCTTCGAAGATGGTGCGAATGAGGAGCGCTGCTGCCGCTCCGGATGCGCGCAGCGAAGTGGGGGTCATGCACAGTGAGCTCAAATGGTCTACTGCGCATACCTACTGCGCATTAGGAGGCCAGATACCAGATAGACAGAAATCTGTTCACTTATTACGACGTGATGCAAGCTTCTTGTGCCCCCTTCCTCCCCTCCGAAAAAAACAAAAAAACATAAGGTTTTTGCCACAGTTTGTTGTCATTCCGATGAACTGTGTAAAAAAATTAGATGTTTACAAGTCTCTATAATGCGAAATTAGAGCAGAGCTCTTGAGGAGCAGGAGGAAAGGGTACAAAGGGGAGGGTATGCTTCTCCTTCTCATCCGTACCCTCTCCTCCTCCCCCTCCTCCTCCAATTCAGTTTCCCCCCTAAATTTGGCAGGGATAATTACGTCACATGACTTGGTGTCACGTCACCTAAGAAGAAGGTATTCAGTTTCTCCGCTAGATTTAGCGATACAATTGACGTTACGTGACCTCAACACCAATTCAATTCCCGCTAAATTTAGCGGGGAATTGAATTGGTGTTGAGGTCACGTGACGTTAATTTTCCCGCTAAATTTAGAGCGGTTACGCCGACGCCGACGCCGACACCGACGTTGCGAAACACAAAAACAAAAGCCTAGGAGCTGCGCTAAAAACAAGAATAATCAGCAAAAGTAATAAAAAATGTTTCAATATACACAGTTCGTAGATAAAGAATTGTGAATATGTTTGGACAAGCGGAAGTTAGCCCCGATTGACGTACAGTGTCTGCGCTGTTGATGAGAAATTTAGCCCGTGCATTACTACTGCTCAAGCCTGGGGTTTTTAACGTGCATCACGTAGTGAAACCCGACCACACGCCGGTACCATGCTTATTTAGATGAAAATGGGCAGGGATGGGGAGTGAACGCATAATATCTGGTTTTTGCAGCGCCAGCTTTCGCCCTATGGGCTCCTATAGTTCCGGTGCGTGAACACACTTGGCCTCCTAAACGTGTACGTGTGAACGAATATATTGAGAATGGCTCTTTCATTGGTCCGTCTTGATGCCTTATTTTGTGGTTTTTCAAGCTGAACATTCTTTAGCTCACTTCTTAGTGGGAGGCCTTCGGCTGGTCGAACAATTTAAGGTGTGCTTTATTGTAGGACACCGCTAAAATCCGCCGTATACTGTGCCCGGGCGGCACACTTCCCTAGCTTGAGGCGGAAAGAGAACCCTACAGAATACGGGAGTTAGCGTTCACAGTGTTAACGTTTGTCTGATTATACTGAAAGATCACCTGGTATGAATATTTCTTGTCAGGTTATGTTATAAGTTAGTGGAAGTGTTCCTATTTGGGTAAGCGAAATTCTTTCTCCTTTGCCCATTTGGTGGAAATAGTTTTATTTGCAATTCTTAAGGCAGTCAATAGAAAGAAGCATCCTAATCCTTCTTGTTTTTAAAGTGCGGTGCACAAAATGGCTTAAAACAAAAAGTGTTATGATCTAGGTTCAAGCAAGTTAAAGACTGAACATACTCGTTGACGCAAATGTCAGAACGCAGGTGATCTGATGGCGCAATTTTAACACGTTGTACAACGCAAACACAAATGTATGTATTTCTCATTTTCAGCGCCATAGTCTGACTTAAGTCGTTTCCAAGAAAACCGTCATGAAGTTTCCACTGCCAAAACAAAACAAGTTCTTTCTTTTTTTAGCTACGCTTATCCTGCCATAATAAAACAGAGAAAAATACAACGATAAAAGCAACAGATTGCGCCAGGTTACGATAAGGTAATTCAAAGACCTTCTATCCCTTTGTTTTTCACCTCGCTGTACTTGTTGCGAAATTACGTCGTATTATGTAGATTCTAGTAGGTTTTACTACCCTGCTTACATTGTAAAAGAAATGGCGAGGAAGGACGGCGGCGCGAGCGACGTTTCGACAAGGCAAGCTGAGTGCTATTGCCAAACGACAGTTCTTTCTCAGATCCTTGCTTTTTGTACTCCTCGTCGCGGAAAAAAGTGAGATGTGATTTCCAGGTTTAACGTTTCATTTTTATGTTGCAGCTTTTTTCATTTCCTACATCTACACGTGAATTCGTTGTGCGAGTACTTCGATAGAAACTTGAATGTTTAAGCATCATGAGCTCTATACGCTGGCGAGTGCAATCGTCACATTGCAAACAATGAGGGAGTTTGAGAATACAAAAACAATCAGTCACGGAAAAAATAAAATGAAGAACCCCAGCCAATGACCAAGCTCATAATACTATTAGATCAGGAAAAAGGCATTGTTAGCAGGGACAATACGCAAGTGGAACGTTATGTTTATTCTCCCTGTGCATAAAATGTTTTGGCCTAGTCATAATTGGAGCTTCGTCGATCGCTTGGATCCTGGTATTGTTCGCCGTCATACGTTGTTTCGTGTTCTGCAAAAATATATCAACACACATTTTATTTAGAGTGCAATATATTTAGTCTTATCAAGCATACAAGCGCGTGTTTTTTCGGTCCCGAAGTTTGACATGCTTTAACTACCCTGCATGGACACGCAAAAAAAAAAAAAAAGAACTGTACCCTTTTGCCCATCCGATTTCCAAGGGCTGCGTATTTTGAATCTCAGGGTGCACACCGAGGAAGGGCGATGCAAGTGTTCACATCGGAACCAATTCTGTAGGCCGCGTGTTCTCGCCCTCAAGAACTATATTTTTGTCGTAACTAGTACATGCCAAAAATACTTTTTATATTTTTCGGAGTTCTACGAAAGCTTCCCTGCACTCGTTAAAGTATTGGTTTGAGATAGTTACTTTGAAATTCTGAGTTCTCTATTTGTCGTTCATACAAATACAACTGCATGCCGAGGACACGAACTTTCGAGAACTGCTCAAGAACTGATCGATTCTCGCTGAGGCTCATTTTAAACGCTAGACTTTTGAAAGCTTTACTCGTGCGATTGAACTTTTTCGCACCACGGTTGCACTATGAAAAGATGTGAAGTAGGCATAAAACATGTTTGTAATTACGTTACAGTTGAACTATTAAAAAAAAGGGAAAGTCAGACTAAGGTTGGAATGTAACGTCCTGAATATGGAGATAAGGCTAGAAGCATACGTTTAAAGCCTTGTGAGGTGATTTTAACGAACAGCTTAAGTACAATATAAATAGAATAAATAACTGCTGACCATTCTGTTAGCATTCGCGATTATAGGAATTGTTTTTGAGAAAAGGGAGGCCCTTCTTGGCGCGATCTGCTGTAATGAACAATTATTGAAGAAGATATCAAAATACAGATATATTTTGCAGGGTGAGTTTCTGCCAATCTTTAGGCATCCATGAAACTCATGACAGAAGTCGCGCTGCCGCAGGATCACACCCAGAAAACAAAACGCTCGCAGAAATAAATGCATAAATCAAAACATTAAACGACTCTCGGTGTGAACTACAAATTGCGAAGCATAAAGCCACTAAATAATTGCCGCTTGCATGTAACGATACTTCAGTCATATCTGTACTTAAAAGCATCGTTGCGAGTTTTCTGGAGCTTTGTCTGAAATCACAGGAAACGCATTTCAGTACTTCAGGAATGTTAAAAACAGCCCTCAAGAAAACAACACAATATCGCTTCAGTTTTCTAACACAGTATCTAAAGCTCAGCAAGTGGAATTCTCGAATCGTTGCTATCGCCAATTGCGCTCGCTCTCCACTGAGCGCCACACTGGCGGTATCCGGAACATTATCGGGGAATAGGGTGCCTATACTCTAAGCGTAGTAGCCTGTTTTGTGCCTCTAGCGAAGCACAACCAGACAAAAACATTCCGAGGAAACGACACAAGTGTTGCTGCTATCAGCGCAAGGAGTTCTTCCACGCGTACCTCGACAAACAGGCGGCCGCACGATGACGCCGGTCTCGTGGCCGTCATCGCGGCGAGATTGATGACGAGACACCGTCGGAGGGTACGTGCGCAGTCCCCTAGATAAGGGCGCGATCTAGCCTTGTCGGGCGATCCGGCGACGTCGTACATGCACGCGCGCTATCAGGCACAGCCAGTTTGTGATTGTTTGCCCGGACTCGAACGCCGTCCTCGGAATGCCCTGGCGTCGCCTTGCTCAGCACAATCCGGAAACGCGCGACTACTTCTGAAACGGTCGTCATGCAGGCGACAAAGGACAAGGCACCGAACCCTCAGGTCACCGACACCCTGCTGTGTGGAGACAGCAGTGAAGCCAGTGCCGAAACCGCAAGCGTCTATGCCTGCGGCATCGGCAGGCTTCAGATACCTTGTCTTCAGCGTCTCGCCACCCCGAAATGGTTCCTTCTCGTGTTTTGTGTCCTCGGCGTCCTCCAAGGAGCTTACCGGACTTACTTCATCGGCATCCAGTCCACTCTGGAGAGACGCTTCGCGATTCCGTCGAAGGCGACGGGTCTGATCTTGACGGCCGAGAACATCAGCCCGGTGCTGGCTGTGATTGCGGGCTACTACAGCAGCGGCGAACGCTTCAACCAGCCGCTCTGGCTCGCCTGTGGCATGGTGACTGTGGTGGTTAGTTGCGGGCTCTGTGTTCTGCCGCATTTTTTATTTGGGCCCGGGGTTCACCTGGCAAGGCAGCGACTCGGACCCCATGGCCCCATGGACGGGCCAGGGTACGAATTCTGCAATCGCGTCGCTGACAGCGGGGACTGCCTCTCCAACGTTAACCTGGAGGGAGATTTCACAATTTTCATTATGTTCGTGGCGAATCTGCTCCATGGATTCGGATCGGCCACATTTTACGTCGTCGGAATGTCTTATATGGACGACAACGTGAAGAAAAAAGATTCACCCATGTACTTTGGTGAGTTACGTATGCTGATATTCCGTGGAGTATTTTGTGTAGCTGCTGTTCTGGGAGTTGCTTAATAGTTTAAAATGTGCGCGTTTTGCGGAAACATATAGACTTTACAAGCTGGTCACGCCTATAACCTTTTGTGGCGCACACCTAGCGCCAATTATGCAGTGGCAATTCCAGTTTGATCCCTGGTTCCACAAAGATCAATGAAGTCGTCGGCATAAAATATGCGATATCTACGAAGGGACAAGCATATGAAACGCAGAATTTAGCGTTGATTCCATAATTAAACAAGACTATTACTTTAACAGATCTTTAGTGGTTGGTGCCTGCGGTGTGAGGGAAGTAAAGAGGAAAACAGTTTTTAGAATGTATCTAAATGCAAGATCCCTGGCGGAAAACTAACATAATCTCCAGAATTTCAAGTGAGAAAACGTGTTATTCCGAAAAAAAACAACAGAAGTGTCATTTTAATGTGGAGTTTTAATACCCTTTCCAATGTTGTGACAGTTCGAAAACATAGTTATAAATGACGTTTTATATATATTTCAAACTTGGGGGTTGAGGACAAGCTTTATTTTCACCCAAAGATTTTATTCACACCTAACACTGACCAACTGAACTGGTTAGCTCTAACCACATATTATTCTTTTTGAACAGATATACTTTGTAGTCCTACGTGCGAATTTAATATGGGTACATCATGTCGCGCACGAGCCGGTTGTTTCAGGCATCTCCAACAGCTTCAGTTCTTCGAAACCTCTCAGACAGGGAGTGAAATTGAAAACAGAGTGCATTCTAAGTGTTTACCAAGATGTTTGCATTTGATAGCCACACGGCAACTGACACTTCCCTGGGTCACGAGGTGCAAATAGTTCCAGGTATCGTTTTTTTTTTCTTTTTTTCTGAGCTTTTATCAGTGGCGAGCGCAACTGAGGTTATCCGCCATAAAGACTGCAACAGCGGCCGTATATTTAGACGGAAGCAGCGTATGACGCCCGTATTGGCTGCTCTTGACCTGAAAGCTAGCCTGACGACTTTACAGTTCCGTTAACAGAACAGTTTCAAGCCCTATATTTCAGTGGAACTTTCGCTGATGAAAGCAGCCTGGAAGGAACGAACTTGAGACCGTAATCGTACAGCCGAGTGGGCGAAAATGCTTATCAGCATCTTCGGACTTGATAATAAGAACACTCTATCGACTTCGAGAGCAAGAAATGTTCTTTGGACTTTCTGATAGAAGCTAAATGCCAGGAAGCTAGCCAATTCATGTCACTTTGCGGGACGTGGCACCAAAACCTTTTACGCCAAATAGCATTGTTGTTGCCCCCATAAAAGTTATGTCTTATTTTCTTGCTGATAATACGAGCAAAATAAATTGAAATTTATCCGCTGCCTGCGTGTTTAGTATACTGAATTGCAATCCTTCTGCAACGCATCAGTTGCTTTTTTGGCAGGAAGATAAAAAAATGTCAAAATAAGAAACGAACGCGAAATAAAAATCGTAAACTACCGAAAGCTGTTGGACAAGTTATCAAAGCACAGATTTTATTCATTATAGTCAGGAAAGGTAGTTACAAAAGCCATAGAGGCAGCCAGAGCTGGTGACTTTAATTGTGGGGTTGATATCGCAAAAGCAGCTGAATCAATGGAGTGCCAGCGTGTTATAGAAAGAACATAAAAAGGTTCCACCTCGGATCCCAGAATGGTAGCAGAGGATTTGCATATCTTTTTTTTACGAAAGCCATATTAGTGACAGATGCAGTTCTGCGTGCCCAACTTCACTAAATCTGTGTTTAATAAGCCTTCAGCCAATGAACGATATACAATGATACCTTTTCGCATGTAAAGACGAATTTGTGGACAATTTGTTTACTCTTTGTTGTTTTAACATGCTTCTGGAGCTTCAAAACTTCAATATTGCAGAGCTGTTGACGAAACCCACTAAACCGCTTAAGGGTACTAATGCTTGGTATTTTAATTATGCGTTCTTATGGTGGTAATATTGAGATAAATAAAAAAAATAGTTCTTATTTATGGGACTACGAAAAAGAAGCTTACAACTAATTGCATTTTTTTACGTATAACTACGTCTCTCTCTGTACTTGGAAGGGGGTGCAAAGTTGGGAAACCGATGTCAGGAAAACTTGGTCACGAAATGTCACGAAAACTTGGTCACGGAAGTGACTTAACGCACGTCAAAATAAATTTGGAAATGGGTGCATAGTGGGGAAGTCGACGTTACAAAACTGTGGTGACAGAATGTCACGAAAACTTGGTTACGAAAGTGACGCCACTCACGTCAAAATAAATTTGGAAGGGGGTGCAAAGTTGGAGAGTCTATGCCACAAAAACTTGGTCACAGAATGTCACAAAACACTTGCTCACGGAAATGACGTCACGCACTTCAAAATAAGTTTGAAGTTATTTTGAACGCAGAAATAAGAAAGCAAAAGAATCTGTAAGCTCTCGTGCGTGGCGACGCACTCTTCGCACCGCTGTACACCCATGACGCGGCGAATATGCTATCATATCACCTTCCTTTCATTTCTTGTGGCACCTACACGTAGTTCTACTGAAATTTATGCAGAAATGTGCACTTATGCACCGTCCTTTTCTTTTTTGTTCTACATGAGTATGTACACGGTCATATAACTAGGCTAATAATAAGTACATGAAAACTTTAAACCGACTTGCCATGGTACAATGTTCCGTTCGGGCTCTTCGTATATATACCTTTACTTTTTTATTTTTTTCAGGAACCATGTTTGCTCTCCGTCTTTTTGGACCGTCTGCGGGGTACCTTTTAGCCTCCTACTGCCTATCCCACTTCGAAATTCCTTTCGGTGAGAAAGTGTTTCCTAGATACGTTCTGTGAATGCGCTTAGACCTCGCCCGATTGAGGCAGATACGGGGTATCTAAAATAATATCAGCTTTGTATAATGACACTAAAGCACTGGAGGTTATGTCGACTCAAGGAAACCACCCGAGGTATGTACACTCAGGCAGGAAGTTAGTAACTCCAAGGAAATAGGCGTATTTTTCTCAGGAGCGCTTGACTGATGGCTTGCGTTTGAACTATAGTGCTCACGTCATGGGCTTACCCATTTGTAGCAGGCGGGGAAAGCCGATCAACACGAACGAACTGCCACTATCGTCTGTGTCTGGGTCGCACTTGTCTGAGTGAAAGGGGGCAAGGATTCACAAGGTCATGAAAAGTAGGGACTCTCAAAAAACAAATCTACAATGAACAAATAAAAACATAAAATAGCAAAGCGCTGTCCCCCTTTCTCCTTTCCTTTAAAAAACGACAACAGAAAAAAAAAAACGACAGCAGAATGGGGACAAACCTCTCACAGAAAATGAAACGCTGCAAAACTGTGGTGTTGCTACGGAAGATGAGCCGGGATTTAAATTTTGGCACGCATTCGTTTTCAGCCCCCATAGACTTTACGCAGCGGTGTCATCTGTCGCTTTATCTACAGGGCTTATGCATACATGTTTAATACCTGATTCCACTTCAGTGTCAGAGGACAGGGCTGCAAAAGCAGTGTCGGATGTGTTCACTCAGCATTTTGGGGGGCTAAGGTATACCCATGGGGCACACCTCCAAGTTTTTGACCTGAGACTTGATTTTGGAAAAAGTCAACATGTATTGGCTTTACCAACCACGCTCTAAGAAGGGACTACTCACTTATTATTCCGCCCACTCTAAACTCAGAAAAAGCAGCATTGCGCCGTCTTGCCTCCAGACCGCCTTGGAAAAGTTCTGCTACCATTCAATGTCAGTAGGTTTTAGGATGCAGGTAAAGCGGCTGACAGATGCGGGCTTTCCAGCGTCAGTTATTCTGGCAGTGGCGCAGACGTTGTTAAAAAGGATGAAGGGAGGGTTAAGTAAGGGAAAAGAGAGACCCACAGCGATACCCCAAGTGCTACCTTACATGGATAAAATCTCGCACAATTTGAAAAACGTAGCTGGACGGTTTGACGTCCCCGCTGTTTTTTCAGTACCTCAAAAGTTGGCGCAACTATGCCCTAGAATTGTGGAAAAGGCTGGGGACAAGTAGGTTGATTGTGTGGTTGGTGTGATATACAAGATCCAACTAATCTTCGGAAGAACGTACATCGGCCAAACTGGCCGATGTATTAATGACAGGGCGCGTGAACATGAGTGGTCACTCCGGTCGACCGCTGGGGGTCACTTGCCTCTGCATTGTGCTGCCTGGAAATGCCAGCCCGATTTCGACAACATCACCATCATCGGGAGGGGCACAGATAAAACCAATAGACAATTATTGGAAGCGTATGCAATAAAAAAAGAGGGGCAAGATGTATGCGTCAGGCAAACATCGGTTTTTCTACACAAAAAGAAATGCTTATCTTGACACGTGCTAAAGCGATAGTGCGGTTTTTTTTTTCAATTAATACTTAGTTGTGAGTCCAGCGCTTGTGCCGTTCGCATCTTCCCTTCGTCCTTGTCTATTTTTGCGCGCTATTTATTTCCGTTTTCTGTTTGGCAAGTGTCCTCAGGCTTTTATCAATGTCGGAACGCAGAGAAGTTTTTTTACGTCACGCGTGAGTAGTGACGTAAGACCTGACAGGAAACCACCTACAAGAGCAGCTCGAAACAAATCGGGTCGGCAATCTCATAATTTTGCGTTTTCATGAGAACACCGAAGAACGAGCCACCAAAGCAAGAATCGTGCACATAATAAACCGCACACCCTGCGTTTCCCGGGTTGCCAGTTACCAGAGCACAGGACCTCGTGTGGCAGAAAGGCCGATGCTGGTGGCGTGGGGGTAAAATCCTGATTGGTCGATAGGGTCATGACGTCAGAACGACATGACCTCGCACGGGAATTTGAAACAACCCACAACGTTCACATGAGGCTTGACGCCACGCGTGGAATGAAAGTGATTAATTAACAGCAAGACTTGTAATGCGAACTAAAGGTCGCCGCATATCTCAATTGATTTCAATTTATAACGTAATTAATTTGCCTTAAAGAACAATTTGAAGAATTTTAGGCGAGTTGCGAGCCAGACACGCTACTGACTAGGGCATGTCCGGCGCACCTCCTGATCGCTGGCAGGAAGAGCACGAGAAGTGAATGAAAAGGCGATTTGAATGGAGCCCGATAACTTTATCGTGTTCCAATCTTAAAGGCGAATCTTGAGCGTCCTCCAAGTTTTTGACCCCATGTTTTGCTCCTGCCATATCTTCCCCTTCCGCAGTTGACCCTGGTGTCGAGAAGACCGACCCCCACTGGATCGGTGCCTGGTGGCTCGGGTACGTGTTCATCGGAATCCTTGTGGTAGTTTTTGCTGTGCCCATGCTCATGTTCCCACGCAAGTTGTGGACGCCACCGTCCAAAGGAGAGGATTCCCAGATCAAGTCCAGTCCGCAGCCGTTGGCTAGCGACCATGAAAGCGAAGGTAATCAAAGTTATACCCCTCCCAATACTAGCTTAGACATTTCCGGAACTGAAGCGTAAAATCTTAACTTACTTGCCTATAATATGGCTGATCGTTTCTTATCTTTAACGTACTGTGGTTTGGTCGCTTACCACTTGACACGAGAGTATTAAATCAATAATCAGTTACGTGTTAGCCACTGAAACTAGAAAAACTCAACTTTTCTTCTAGCTTGCTGTTTGAGATGAAGAAGGCTGAAGCCATTCTTTTTCCATCTTCATTTGAGGACATCCGTGGAAAAAGTCGAACGCCACATTATCACCGTTGTAACTTACAGGGACATGATGGATGTTTCATAAACAATAACAAGTGGACCATGAAGATTTCAATGATAAATTAAAATAGTGGCATTTGCATATCGTAGCAATCACACTTGGCAAAATTATTGTTGAGTAAGTCGTCAGTCATCATATTTAGGTATATTAAATATATGTATTGAGAAAAAGACACGCAAAGACAAAGGATACGAAGAAAAAAATAAAAAGAATAAACGGAAAATGTTTTTTTTTCACGTCTTTTTTATTGCTCCTTACTTTTCGTTATGACTTCATGCTAACTAGTCAAACCCTTTAACCTTTCGTTTTAAATGATTCGATAATTAGTTTCGATACAAGGTTCTATGACGTAATATTTTTTTCCTCCCGAACCTTCGCAGAGCTGAAGACAGTGGCAAAGCGGCTGTTGAGCAGTCCACTCTTCTTGTGTCAAGCTGCCACGCTAGTCTTCACCGTGAACGGCCTCATGGGGTATTTGTTTTCCTCACCCAAGTACATGGAGACGCAGTTCAGACACTCAGCCGCTACAGCGAGTTTGTTCGCAGGCAAGTACTTCGAAGATACCTCAGTTTACGCAGCTTACCTTTAGAAATTTCATCACTCTTGTAACAACCCATAAAAGTCAAGTAGCATATTACGCAAGGACAATGTACCCCTCGGGCAGATCCAGTCGGGGCCTTCGCAGGCGAACCGAGACCCCAAGTTGTTTTTTTTGGGGTAAAAAAAAAGTCTCCCTTTATATTTTTTTTTGTCATGCGAATTTTTTTTTTTTTTTGCCTTAGCAAACAAGACATTATCTCGCTCAAAGAATCCGTGATCTCAGAGACTGTCCGGCATAGTGAAGTTTAAGCGCAGTCAAGCTTGGCATAATAATCTGCATTGGGCAAAATACTAAATGTACAACTTTATGTATGACACCGCTAGCTCTATCAAAAACAAAAGCGCAATAACGTTTTTTTTCTTTTTTGAAAGCGCTTTTAAGTTGTCAAAGGTACGTTAACATTTGTACTTGTGCAAGAAAAGCGCAAGTGCCTTGTTTGGGGGGGGGGGGGGGGGAGGGGAGTGGGGGGGGGGGAGGGGGGAAGAAAAAAAAACCGTTCACATATGCGTAGCCTAAAATTCTTCCAAGAACACGTTTAAATCACGTTTCTCTTAAATGAGTCTAGGACAGTCATTTTCCTCACGTTAGCTCGTATATTGCTTTGGTTCAGGTTTTGCTGAGGTTGCTTTAATGAAGGGCTAAACTACTTGGACATAAAGATTGTGCCGTATTCGATGCAGGGTCCCTGTCTCTGGCGTCCATGTTGCTGGGGGTTCTGTTCAGCGGAGCCATTGTTCGGAAGCTCAAGCCTGGGGCAGGCCTCGTTTCTGCCCACATTCTGGTCGTGGACGTTCTCCTGGTTGTATGCTTCGCGGCATCGCTCTTCTTGGGTTGCGACACCCTGCGCGTCAGCGGCGTCCAAGAGCACAATGGCGAGTACGTTCTGGACTTGCTTCAAGCGATAAAAAACAACCAGCTCCACACCCGGCACTAAGTGATCTCAGGGGTACATTGACGAGATATCTGGTACCGCATGATTCATTGAGCCCTTTCTTTACGATACCAATTTGCTTACCAGCAACACGTCCAATGTAACAAAGCCATAGCGACGAATTTTCGCTGTCCCTCAAAGAAACCTAACGCGGGGCAGAGATTAGGCACGATTGCTACTTCGGCGCTAGGTTGAGACTCGCGTCCAATCAGAAAGAGCACGTGTTCTGACCGAACTCTGATGTTGCAGTCGTATCCAATCGAAACCCCGCGTTGGCCTTCCTTCTGTGAGACCGAAACTTCAGCACTGTGCCTTTGGTTATCGAGGATTTGTTGATTCCACGCAAAGAACGGAGAAAGAAGACGGGCACTGTCAAACCTTGTCGCCTCGTATACAAAAACAAAAAACGAAAAAAAAAAAACGCGTGAAATAAAAGTGCAAAAAGAAACAGAGCGTCGTCTTACGAAAAAACAAGTTATTTGTCGTTAAGTCAATTGGTGGTTACATCCTGTTGAACCTTGGAATATTAGTACATCCTGGAAGGCCTCGAGGCAGTTTTACTTCTCATCCAAAATGTTTCAGTGCTTAACTGAGAATCCACCATTAGTAATATAATGCGGATTTTAACTTTAAAACATCGAGTAATTTTCTGTTTGACACTCCTAATAAGCAACCGCACGCTTTTCTGCTCTAGAAACATATTCAGGTTCTCCGACATTTTATATTACCATGGTGACATGTATATCCGTTTGAGATAATTAAATTGTCATCTGGTAAGCGAGTGAAGAGATTCAGGACTTTTACATATGTGCATTTAAGGATGTCTGTTGGTTAACAAGTCACAATCACAAGCTTTTTTTTGTAATTTTCTAAAACAACAGCCGGACTTTTTTTATGCGTTTGGGTTTTATTTAAGCGTCTGTGGAATCAAGAGGGTCACTGACCGAAACTTACAATGCTGGTATTTCTCTCTCTACACTACACTTGTTAATTGATTGTGTAGTATCGAATATTGCTAAACAAACACACAAAAATGAAATTGAGGAGGATCAGTATTACGTTTATAAAATCGGTAATTGGCCCAAAGGAAAAAAAAACACGTTATCTAAAAGAACCAATATAGCCTGCCATAGTTGATGGCTCACATTATAAATATAATTCCAATATGTTTTCTACTTCCCCACAACTTGTTTCAGGTTGAACTTGATGAACGACTGCAACGCTGGATGCGGCTGCACGACCAACGTTTTTCAGCCGGTCTGCGGTCCAGATGACCGAACCACGTACTTTTCGCCATGCTTTGCAGGATGTCAGGGGGTCAATACGTCGGACGTCAAGGAAGTAAGGTCTTACCCGCAATTCTGCCACAAATGCAGTAGTTGAAGCTTCATTTGAACCACACACGATATATGCTCTAAGATATCTGGAGCGTCAATTTTCCAGGAAAACGTTTGGGAGGACCAATCACTGCAATCATGGAAGCGAGATCTGCGAATCACACAACTAAAAATAAATTTAAACAACTAAATTTCGTGGTAGCCCGAGCAAGACGTTTCGCCATGCTCAGTCACGATCAGTTCCACAGCGCAAACTGTTTTTTAGGTCAAAACATATTTTCATACAAGTCAATCTTCGAAGCTTTGCAGAGATTGGCTCTCCCTAGTGTTCTGTGGGAGAGTAGACACTCCAGAGATTTTAGATAATTCAACATCGCATAGGTTTATAGCTTCAGTAACATACATTTGATCTGAGAGTGTTTATTTTTTTTATGCGATAGGCAGAGTTTGCTGGGAGTTTTAAGACACACTTTTGGCCAACCCCAAAATGTGTACCCTACAGGTATTTAGGACTCATAAAGTGGAAGCGGGGGGTGGGTAACAACCTGATCATTTATTCTTTTCGCATCTCAATATCACGTCATGCTGACGTCATTGGGATTTCCCGGCGAGGCACCGGCTATTTGGTGCGATATGCAAGCTGGTATTTGCTGGTGGTACTCTATAGGTTCTTCTGATTTGCTACTTTTTGGGGCTCTATGGCTCATTGTAGCGCGTCCTCTGTCAAATCTCAAGCGATTCCGGGTGAAGGCTGTTCCAGCAGGTAATGCCGATTATGCTGGTTTCGGAAAGAAGGCATTCAAGGTGTCCATTCCCACTCACCCCGCGAAAATATCGTCCGCACGTCCATAGGGCGTTCGTGAATTTTCGGGACATCCCGCAGACGTCCGCGAAATCGTGTGCGCTGCCCCCCCCCCCCCCCCCCCCCAAAAAAAAAAAAAAAGAAAGGAAAATGGTAGTTACAATAATGAAAAAATCCGTTTTTGGCGAATATTCAGTCTATTTGCACGAGCTAGCGCGTAGAAAACAAACACCCGTTTCACGCTTTATGACATTGGGGTATTTAATTTGAACCTAATTGTTGCACAAATAACACACATTATAAGACCGATGTGGGTAAAGCGGGCAAAAGTGGGTCTCCAACGCGCCATATGAAAGTGCCCACTTCGTGCCGGATAAATAATCAAATAAAACAACAATAACTTTTTTTTTTTTTTAGGGTTTCAGGGTAATTTTACGAGGTGTAGAATTTTGAGTTTTCTTGTTTTGCTTCGTAAAAACAGTTGTTTTTACCTACACCGGCTCGGTCTCGTTCCGGTTGCCACACAGTGAGTCCACCATCAGGGCGTGGACATATCGCCCGAAAGATGTACCGATATATTTTAACAATCAGAGACGCCCAAGCTCGATTAGGTTGCCTGTTTTTGTGGCTAAATGCGAACACACATTTTACAATATTGGGGCATAATTAGAGGCCATATAAACGACATATGTATTACATTTATAAACTCCGATTCTCGGTAAAAATTACATTTTCTACGAAAACGCAAAAAAACAACAAAACAAATTATAATAAAATTTAATCTTTGAGAAAATCAATTTTAAACTTGCCACTTTCTAAAATATTACAATGTTTAAGTGATGATAATGCCGGATATATTTCACACAACTGATGTATTGTGATATATTTATAACGAGCTTCTTTTTGCGCTGTTCATGGACATCATAATTCTAAATATAACTCAAGCAGGTCGCAGATAGCAGCCTGTCGAAGTTAATAAAAAAATAGACCCTGGAGGTGAGTTTGGTGATTTTCTTTTTAAATGTAAAGCGCCCAAAGGTATTTAATTACACTAAGACCTTTTAATAATGTCCATATGGATATATACAAACATGAAAACAACGCAGAGTCAAAAACCATGGGAGGAAAGTGAGTCAAAAATGCGACCTTCGACAGTCCTGAGAGACGCTCATTTCCACATCGGTCGATTCTCCGCTCCATAACTAGAGAATACAAAATATCCGAGCCCGCGTCTTTTACCTTTCTTATAGGTAGAAAATTCCTTACAACATACAGTTCTATCGTCAAAATTAAAAGTTTGACTCTTTTTGCCTACAACGCTTGAGATGAAATAACCTAGCAACGTGTGTACAGACGACTAAAAAAAAGTCTTAGGCAGTAATTTTATGGTAAGTATGTAGCGCTTAATGTAGCGAATTAGAATGAGATTATTTATGAACATATAACATTCTCGCAGTAATATATTCCAACGCAGTTCAAAAAAGCCTTTCGAACTCAGTTTCACAGTCACTATTCTCCCAAATTCTGCTCGATTAAAGGGATGGTGCAACAATATTCAGTTAGAATGTTTTTCCTTGTACACGAGCTTATACCCCTGTCAGGCGACGCCTCACAGTTTCTTTTCATTAACTATCCTTTCCGCTAAGGGATATTCTGCTAAAGGAGCTGTTGTCACGCGGCCAGCAAAATGCTTTACCATCGACTTTGATTCCTTTGTGACTGGCCACGCGAATTTAAAACAGAAACTAAAAGTATTATTTTAAAATGTTCTTAATCATTCAAGATATAAGCTAATGCTTCTTTTACGGGAAATTTTTGAAAACCAAATTATGCAAACAATATTGAAAGGAAACATTCGCAAGAAGCTTTCATGTCATAACGAAACACTGAAAACCACGAAAGTATGCTAAATTTACAGTGCACTAAATTATTGCCTGCTTACTGATACCTCAAAATCATTCAAAACTAGTATATTCCCGTAGATAAATTCTGAAAATTATTCATATTTAAGTTTAATGTTTTATACCAGCAATACCCGAACGAGGTGTGATCGCGCAGGCGAGTTGCTGAATAGCCCGAGACGCGTGAGGAAGAAGATTCAGATCGTTTCTGACACAGTTAAGGTTCTAATTATCAACGAAAGCTTTTCAACAATACAGTCAGTCAGTCAACGCCTGAAAAAACAATATTGTTATAGTTATAACCCCAAGAAGACGAATTGATGCAGCAGCTCCCCTCCAATGCCGTTGGCGCCTACTGCCGAGAGTACTTCCTTTGTACTAAAGGACGCTATAGCCAGCTCCTTTTCCGAAAAGGATGCTTTAGGGGAACGAGCATTTGTGGTGCTGTGTGGCACGAACTCCTTCTCCTTTTTCTAGAAGATTGTCCTTTCTACTAAAGGAGGTTAAGCGGTCCGTCTGACAGGGGTGTTACTCGCACTATGCTCCGTTCACCATTAAGCTGAGACTCCAGTCAAAAGAACTAGCACGCGCTCCTGGCTTTGAGACGTGCATTGCTTTTGCCAGCGCTCGCTCTGCGGTAGAACGTTTCAAGGCAGCAACCTTGTGCTCTTGTGCTCGTGCCCTTAGCTGCAGTTTCAGCTTAAGGGTGAACGGAGGATATTGGACTCTAACTATAATCGTACGCAGCTCCACTGACCAAGAAACGTTTTTGTAGCGGTGTAATTTGTTGCGGTGTAATAATCAGGCTTAGTGTACAACACTGTTAAAGCGGCTGACACGAGCCTGTGGCTTCATCTCTCGATTTCTTGACACACGGTTTCACTAAAGTGAGATTCATGATGAAACCACTTCCTCGCACCAGTAGCTTTGACGGCGTTGTGTACTAAGTATGAAACGGAGAATAAGCGCGCTAAGGTGGTATCGGTAGACAGGTTTCTTTTGGTTGCAGTTGCCAACACGCAAGTGTTATAGCATCCCAGAGAGGTTGTTTTGGCAAGCTTTCAGGAGGAATTGCCCAGGTGTTGACCTTGCATGGCTATTCAATAAACAAAACAAAAAAAAAATGTTAGCTGGCAAACAAATTTTATCATCACTCACTCCACGTCTGAAAATATTATAAATGAACAGAAATGTAGAAACACGTTGCTTACATACAGTTTTATTCGCCATATTAACAATATTTATGCATGTGCAATAACACCATTCAAAGGCTTCTGGCGCCGATGCTGTCCCATAGCTATCACTTCTCGTGACCGCCTCACTTTCATTTCTTGGTCACTATACTCCGTTCGATAATTAATATAAAACGCCGTCAAAGCCACTGGCGCGAGCGAGTGGCTTCATGTATGATTTCGTTTGCGCGAGAACGCGTCCAAATGATCAACGAAATCAAGCCCCATGCTCGCGCCAGCAGCTTTGACAACGCTGTAAACTATGTTGAAACAGAGTATAGCTGTAAAGATTAACGCTGAATAAACGCCTTTTGTTTTCGGCACCGACAGTGCATGGTTATTGCTTGCGAACTGGCCGTGAATCCGACGCTAAATGTGTGGTACAAAAAGTGCTGGTGTCTGGCGCAGATGCTAGGCTGCAAGTGCCTGCTGGAACCAGATGGCTCCGCGTTGACTTCCAGCGCTAGCAAGGGCTACTGCTTCGACGACTGCACCATGTTCGTGCCTTTTGTCGCCGTGCTGGCTCTTGCTAAATTCGTATTCGCCACGTCCAGAGCTGGCACTGCTCTGATTGGCCTCAGGTAGGCTCAGATATAAACAGTGTTACGTTAACTATTAATATAGTATGAAATAATATTCTCCTTAAGGTGCTATACAGATACTGGCTTTTGTACAGCACCTGTTATACAGAGCTATACCCACCTGACGCTTGTATTGCACCGTGGTGTGAGTCATTGTCAAAGCCACAATTACTACGCTTCTTCTTATAAAGTTACTGTGCTCGCTGTGCAGTGGTTTCCGCAGTCTTGTATCTTTCTTTTTTAAATAATTTTCTATAGTGTGCACTGATTGACGTTCCTTAAATACTCTGGAAACTCTAAAAGTAGGATTACTGGACTTCGTTTTACACCATTGGTAGTGTAGACTTTCTGTTTATCGCAATATTTATAGCTCAGGTTGTAATGTTTGGAGACCTGGACGTGATTCGAGTATAAATGACTTTTAGTTTTGTTGAATTTTATGTTTTTTAAAGGTAGCTTAAAAATTAACTTATGTAGATACGTTAGGTCTTGCATTCATGAGAAATTTGACTAAGAAATACATTACTTCGAGCTTGTTCTCTTCTGATAACGGGGTCAAAATGGTGGACACATTACATGCAGATTTGGTATTAAGATACCAAGTGGGTTGTTGCAACGCAAGTAACAAAAATATTTTTGGGAAACATGCGTTTTTCTGTCTGAACAGATGTTTTCATCAGAGGAACAAGACAGTCGCCCTCGCTGTCTACCTTACTCTGGGATCCATCTTTGGTGCGTACATAAACCCCTCATAAAGATGTGTTCTTCGGAAGAAACATTTGAGAAATAAACGTTTCTAAGTTGCTTTAAGGTGATGCATTTATGCACCTGTTCACCCACATATCCTGCATTTTTGGAGGTTCTGAAGGTAATCAGAGTTTGGGTATCTTAGAAAATTAAAAAAAGTGAAGTGTTGTCTCCCAGATATTTATGTTTGGCGAAACGTAAACTTGTTTGCCAGCTTCTTAAGTGTCCGTTCACTAAGGGGTTCTTATTCACAATGTACCATGCAGTTATTGCATGGCACATTGTGCATAACTCTACAATGAACTGAAGACAAGGAGTAATTTCTTGCACCACTCCTTGGAGATGGCATTGCAACAATTTCACAGTCACCGCAGTCATAATAAACAACGACGGTGATGATGCCAACAGGTATACGATCATGTTGTATGTATTTAGGCATAACCAACTTTTAAAAGTCAAGCAATATGTTTTCTACTACTTGCCTAAATACTTGTATAACCTAGTCGAATACACAGCATTGCTTGGAGGCCACGCTTTGGGAGACCATACCGACAAATTATTGACACTTGTTAAAAAAATGACTTGGAACAGTTGGCGATACGTCATAGGAAACAACAAGGCTAGAGAACCAGGACAAAAAAAAACACAACAAGGGCGTCTTTGCTTGTTGTCCCTGTCCTTCTTCGTGGCAGCTTCATTTAAATGTATTCATAACGGCTTGCATTTTTGGTTTTGTTCAAAATACAGGTTTCATTCCATACCCGCTGATCTACGGCGCACTCATGGACAGTTCCTGCCTGGTGTGGGACGTGAACTGCGGTGCACGAGGCAACTGCTGGCTCTACGATTCTCAAAGGTTCCGCTACCTGTTGCACGGTCTTTCCATGGGCTTCCTTTCCCTCGGAGCGCTGTTTAGCTGCGCCGTGTACCTTTTCGGTAAAAGCAGCAGTGAACTGGAGGACGACCAAGGTGCCGAAGATGATGACGAAGACGTCGTTTTCATGAGGAACATGGGACATCCAGGGATAACCCATTCCACATAATAAAACATCATTCACCCCATTTTAACAAACCGTGTCTCTGGAACTAAAAGTGACAAGGAAACAGGAAATTAAGTGCGCTTGAATTGTAGTAAAATTGAAATATGGGTCAGGTGTTGCATTTAAAAAAATACTATACTTCGTTTCAACTTCAACAAAAACTGAAGCGGTTTTGCATTAAAACAACAACAATATTATTCATCTTCATTTGGCCTCCAGGATTACGAATATCAAAATCGTATTTAATATTGGTACGTAAAGTAGCCACTACAGTATTTTTAAAATAGTAACGAAGCCCCTCCTTTTCGGCGCGTTCGGCGGGAGGTGAAATTTGTGACGTACTATACAGAGATGTCGACATTTCCGCACCTTCCGCAAGCCTTTCCCGAGCAGTTAGAAACGCTACACGCTTTCCTTCACAATCGTTACGCCCAACGCAGTTGAAACCTCTGAGTATGACGTGGTACCCAGCGGTTGATTTTTCCGTTTTTCTTTCGTCTATTGACACCTTCGGATCAAATGCTCGTAATGTTCAAATTCACAAAACGAAAATACGGTCAACCTCACATCTAACTCGTTTTTTTTTTTTTTTTAAAGAACCTTTTTAGCTTTTTTTAAGTCCAAAAACAGCCCAAGCCACGAGCAGTCAGAAGTGCACCATCATGGTGTTGGTCATGTTTCAGCACGTGGTCTATCATCGGCGAACCTTTCATAAACAGAAAAGGCCAATTGGCTTGCGCTCTTGGCGCTGCTTGTTTGGTCCGATTACCTCGTAGCGTCGGCTGTGTCTGGACTTGAAACAAACTATCAAAGCGCCAAGGAACAAGAACTTAAAGGGGTACTCCGACGATTTCTTGAGCTAGCCCAACTATCTATATACTCAAAATCACCGGTTTTTACTCTTTCCGGTATGCTATTAGGATAGCGAAATTCAGTACAGTTATTGTGAAATCGGCAAGTGAAAATGACGCCAAGACCAACATTCAAATATACCCGCGCTTTTCAGTGCCGTGACATCCATGGAAGGCAGGCTTGCAGGCCGACCGGGCGGTCTCAAAACGAACAATGTAGAGCATTTGTTTCGAGCTGCTGCGCGGGTGCCGGAGCGAGCCTCCAAATCATTCATCTGGAGCCACGAAACTGCTTGCAATCAGTTGGAAACAAAGTATGCGGTCCAAAGAGTGTATCCCTGACTTCGGCTGTAGTCACCTTTTATTGTTGCCAGTAGAGACTAATTTTGAGAAACACGATGAGTACCAAAATTGTAAATTCAACTACTTCGCGAAAAACAAAATTGGCCCAATCTTTGGGTTACTATACCAACGATGCTGGCTGGTCTGGTTAGATCATTTTCAGGCAAATTCAGGACTATACTAGACTAGAAGGGAGAAAAACCGAACAAGTCAACCGTCGGATGTGCCGTCACTCCCAGAGGTTTCAAATGCCACGCGCGTGACAGAGATCTCCTCCGTACGGATACGTCATAATTCCCTCCTCGCACCGAACGCGACGGGAAGGACGCGCTTCGGCGCTATTTCCAAAGCGCCGTTCTGGCCGTTTACTTGTTGCGTAAATCTGAAATATAATTTTGATCATGCGTAATCCTAAGGGACTATGTTAGACAAATGTTTCGTTTCTCCTGAAAAGAAACAAAATTGACGGAACTGACTAGACTGGAGGCTCAAATGACGAAAGTTCTCTTTTTCGTCCTTTGCGCCCCAATCAGACGCGATATCGTCAGTTCCATCACTTCCCTTTCTTTTTAGGAGAAGCGAAACATTTGTCGAACATAGCCCCCTAGAAGCCGGGTAAAGACGGTCGAAGTTTTTCTTTCTTTCTTTCCCCTCAGACACAGAACCGTTAGTTTACCTTTAACGGCAGTCGACGATCCTCGCGAGCCCATCAAGAGACGTCAAAAGTGCAACGTCACTGGCGCTTGGTTGGTTGGTTTCGCAGGTGTGATAAAAAACGCGCACAGAACGACGAGCTCCCTGTCGAGACACTTTTAGCGCTGTTTGATTAGCTTCGTCGCATCGTATAGTGTTAGTGGAAGTCCTTGTTTCCTGCAGCGCTTTTAGCATTCCTGCTATGTACCAGCGAAGTAACCATCTCTATATTCTACTCGGTAACTAAAGCTAAAGTTCCTAGATAAGAGCTTCCTACAAGTAGCGACATTCTTTAAACCGCCGACTGCGTGACGGTGCAGGTTTTAGGAAGCGAATGGCGGCGCACAACAGAAGAGTGAACTGTAGGACGCCATTTCGTTCCAGCGGAATGTGCTTTGTCATTCGTATTGGTTGTCGTTACTTGTAAAAATAAGTCTCAAGGGATTTTAACTAAACCGAGTATAGTGCTTTACGTTTTAGGGAGCCGTGAGACAGGCAAGAAACCAGGTAAGGTGTCCACCTTCATATTGCCGGCGGGTGTATGTGTTTCCTCGTAAAGCAAGTTTTTTTTTTTTGTTTTTGCTTTTAAGTTTAGAAAATGTGTTGGAAATTAAACCGATAAAGCAACTTTGTTCTTAATCTTCGGAAACTTAGTGTTAGTGAACTTATTTTACGTGTGCGCGCTTCACTCGAGCTATCTTATTTTATTAAAATATTGGAATACATACTGGCAAAAAAGAGGAATATTTGGTGTTTTTTTTATTTTGACTGCTGTACAATACATCGAGACGCTATGAACGAACCGACATGTGTGACGAGTCAATAAGTAAGTTGTTTATTCCACTCACATATTTTACGAGAGCGCGATTGCGATTATGGACTTGGTTCTTCGCCATTCTTTAGACGCGATATGCCTTCTATTAAACGGTACGCGCCAATGTGAATGACACTTGAAGCTCTCCGGTACGTAACCACGCGTCGACCACGGGGATATTACTCGAAAACTAGATGATTCCCGAAAACGAGGTATGACGAGCATTCCAATACCGAGGTGCTCAACGAGACTAGCACACTTGGAGTCCACCAACGCAACTTTCGTCGCACTCAAGTACCGCGCAACAAAACTCACGCTAGTGAAGTCCTGCACTTCCGCGGACCATGACTCGTAGAGTTCTTCTCTTCGTCGCATCTTTTGTCGGCAGAAAACCCGTTCTTTTTCTTGTCACACTTGGGAGTGCGCGCACTGCCGGCACCTTCGTCCAACACGAGCGAACTGAGCAACGGTTCGTCGTTGTCGTTGGACACGCCTTCTTCGGGGTCCGGCACAGTTCCGTTCGGAACGAACTTCCAGTCCGTCGTCTTTTTGTAGTACACGTCCGACTTGACGTCCGACGTGGCGGACCACGCGCACGGGTAGTGCTTCTTCGAGATCCAGTAATAGCTGCAAAGAGCCGCCAGGAGAAGCGCCAGGAACAGGACAGCTCCGACGATGCTGAGCACGAGAGCAATGTACTGCATCTGGACCGCTGGGCATCGGTGCCAGTTAGCGTGAAGCCAGGCGTCAGGCAGCTACGCTGACGGTGACGCTACGCTGCCCGTCTGGAACTTTGCTTCGAGCCGCTGGTGGCAATGTTGCCGTTGCCTTCATGGTCCCGTTGTTGCCGATGTCGGGTGCGCGCGGTGTGAAACGGTTTCCTCTTGGGAAAGAAACAGCGCGATTCTTCGGCGCCCAGAGACTCCTCGTCTGCGGAGTGGAAACAGGAAGGTGAGTACCGCTGTTTGAAGAACACAAAAGTTAATGTTTAGTTTTAAGGGGATTCCACGAACCGTTACGAACGGAAAATTGAAATGAAAAGAAAAAGCGCGGGCAGGAAGCAAGGGGAACAACAAAGTGGGTGACGCTTGAAGTTTCTGGGTTAGATAATTTTTATTGTTCCTTTTTTACTGGTTGATTTAAGTGGCTTTGCAGTGCATGAAAAGACCGTGAGGGAGTTCTATGAACATTTAATAACGCGTTAACTATTACGGTATTTATAGTTGTAGTGGAATTAGAAACATCGAATTACTTTCGCTTGTTGGTTATCAGCTCGGTATTTTTGAATAACCTTTATTTCTAATGTGAACTTGATTAGAGAATGTCGAGGTTGTGTCATGCAATTGTGTCACGCGAGCAATAAATGCACCGTAAGGGTCTATAAAATATACATATTGAGATAAAAACAGCGCAAACGTACAAGGAAGAATTAAAAAAACAGACAGGGGGATCGGTCGCCATGTGGCGACGCGGCTAGCGCAGACCTGCTCCGAGCACGTGGAGCGGAAGCTCGCGCTGCAGAATCCAGGAATCCTGGGTTCAATCCTCACCACTGCCCGTTTCGACCTGGATGAGCATCGTACCGGCGTGCAGTCAAGTAATCACTACTGCGTGATGCACGTTAAAGACCCCAGGCGGTTGTACCGCACTGGCTAAATTGCTCATCTACAGCTGGGAGACAAGTCGCCCGTTGAGGCAGATCAAGTTCAGACTGTGTAAACGTAGCCACACCCCAATTTTTATTAACAAGAAAAGACGGGACTGAGGGCAGTGTCCCGTATGTTTTTGTTCTTAGTCTTTGTCCAGTTCCGCTCTCTTTACCTCAAGATGTAATAAAAAAAAAAAGGAAAGCCGTTTACAAATCCCTGTAACGCTGAATTGGAGCGCAGCTCTTGAGGAAGAGTAGGGAAGGGTACTGAGGGGGGTCACGTCACCTGCGGTTAGTCACGTGACCTCGGGGGGGGGGGTCACGTGACCCCCCCCCCCCCCGGTTACGCCGACGCCGACGCCGCTCAGGCTGGAAACGGGCCCCTAAGAGCTGCGCTCTAAAAAAAAAAAGCCAGCTAGCCCTACAAATGTTTCTATAAGATTAGAACCCGTCATATACGATATCATATTTTGAAAAGTAGTGAATAGCGATGAAGTCAGACGAAGCGATCAAGTTGCCACATCTCGCTCTGCTGCGCAAGATTTTCCTTCTAGGATTTGGTTTCAACAACATCAATCAGGTTTCTTCAGGTGGGCGATTTTTGAACAATGAAGTATCTTGTAATATAGGTTATTTGTATTCATAATTTGCCGTAATAATGTCTTATGCCAAAACGTTAATGAAACAATTTCCTATATTAAATTTCGCTTAAGGATGCAACTTGATATCCACTTTTTTTTTCACTCAACGAAAACATTTTTGATTTTGCTTTTTAATATTTGAAATCAGCATCTGTCACATAGTTCACTTGTGCGCACAATACCTCTTGGTAAGGGCAATGCCATATGTGCAGTTTTCAAAAGAAAATGTCACTCTTATGGAACCTTTGGTGGCATTTTGAAACCTTCGATTTTGCTTCATCACATCGTTGCAGCACCCGGTGCTACAGAGGACGTCTACTCTAAAAACACTCCAGAAGAGGAGAATATATTCATAGTGAGTCACCGTTGACTGTAGATACGTCGTAAATATTTTTCTTTGTCTTTGAATAAACTGCAGACAAAGTTAATCTGGAAACTTGAGTGCCAGTCCACAAGCATTGCAAGTGTCTACAGGCTGCGGCTTTCTTTCTTTTTTTTTTTTTTTCAGCTTCTTGAGTAAATATTTGATCGGTAGCATTCAGGGCAGTAATCCTACTTAGTGCCTCGACGAGAGCTCCAGCGAGTCTGCCGTGAATGTCCTTGGCGCTGTTTTTCTTGCTTTTCAATTAGAAGATCCGGGCGGGCGGCCTTCGACGCCAAGGTAGACGCGAACATGGCGTCTGACCCTTTTTTGGTACAAGCTTCGCGAGCCGAGGAAGGTGATTTGGCTTCAGCTACTTTCAACTAATCGCTTAATCGAGCACGCTACGGCGTGATTAAGAGTGTCGGTGTGTGACCTTCAATTTCTTTTATATTGACCCAAATGTAAAAGTGACGATTGCGTAATTTATCGGAAATTCTGAGCACCGATTCTTATGCCGAAGTTTAAATGACAACAAAAAAAGTAACAAAATGTGTCTGGAAAACAAATTAATAAGAAATGTCTGAATCAGGCCGGAAAAAAAGCTTATCTTCTTCGGTTTACATAAGCCATACGCCTTTTCTTTTTTCTTTTTTTAATACACCAACAAGGCGTTGTTGAAAATTAAGTGAAACAGCCGCATGCACAATGACCTATATCGATAAAAAAAAAAGACTGTTTTCAAGCAGGGATAAAAGGAAAGTGACATGCAGAACGAAGGCAAGACAAGCCTACATGTCGCCTTCCTTATATTCATGTAACTTACCAGCGCTCTCCCTTTCGTCGATGTTTTCAACTCTTACTCTCTAACTAATAAATAGTTGTTAGGTTATGACTTCGTAACGAGAGGGGAAGGGGGGAGAGGGGGAATGGGGCGTGAGTTGAAAATATATTTCATTTTTATTGCGTGACTAAACTAAGCCGCGAATTTTAACTAAGCTCACAGGCTACCGGAGAGAGAAAGAAAGAGAACAGAAAACGACTCAGACAACTTGACAGACTTCTCTTGCAAGGGTTCTTTGAAACGTAAATATCCAGAGAGTGCTTTTTAAAAATAAAAAAAAAACTCAATACTGCCATCTTTGTTGGGAACTTCGTTTCACGCCTGTCATCTCTGTTTACAAATCGTACTGCTATTTCGTAGTGATTGCTTAAGAATGGTTGATTCAAGAAAGCAGCTTGTATTATGACTTGCGCGGAAAATTATTATACTCTAGACCAGTTGCTATCAAATGGGGGTCCGCGAAGCCCTACGTCATCAGTCAAGCTCGGCAATGAAGGTTGTCTTTTTTCAAATTGAGAAAAAATGTTCCAATATTCGGGTGAGTTTTCTCGTGTGTATGTCAATGAGAGAAGTCAAGTTCACACTAGCCCTTAGCTATATTCATTGATTAAATCATTATCAAAATTATCGTGTACCTCTCCCTTTTTCCTCACCATGAACAGGGTCCTCCGTCATATTTTCTGATCCAGAAGGGGTCCGCGAAGCATCGATGGTTAAGAACCACTGATTTAGACATATCTGCAAATATTCGCTGGAGAAGCTTTCACAATCATCTACCGTAGATTTCCGGCTTCGATAAGCCAGATGTCTTTCTTCACCACTTGGCACCTACTACACCGACGATGAGTATTTATATCTCTACTATTTCTATGACTTCGGTGGTGCACCGTGCGTATTAATTTCACATTGATCCGATACAGGATTGATACAGGAGGCGAAATGCAGTGCTTGCCTAGAGCGGGAAATATTATCGAATGACTACTTTAAAAACACGTTACCAACGCGAGCTGAACTGCGACGTGCATATTTAATTACCTACAGCAAACGAAGGTGTTAACAAAAATATAAATTATTTGACTCACCCGCTGCTCACTCAAGAGATCAATAGCAAAACGTAAACAGGAGCTGATTTACCAGAAATACCCAAAATATTTATCCGAGGGCGCTTGTTTCACCCGAAATACACGGGGACGAAATACACCAAGAAATGTACGAATAAATACCCGAGGAAGTTTGTTTCAGCTGGTCCCAATAAAACGACGTCCAGCAGAACAAATCCTGAGGGCGGCCTCTTTCAAGTTCCCAAGTCTACTAATGAGTTACTAATTAAGTAGACCTCACTATGAACGCACACAATAATTCCTAACTGCGCCGCTTTCTAACTCAGGGTGTTGAACGCAAGACGGTCGAGACAAATGAACGACGGTACTCTTACCTCCTCCAAAATCACAACCGGCGGACTGATTCACACTGCTGGCGCGCTGACATCCGAGGCACCACTGCGATGAATCCGCTCTGCGCACGCACGCACGTTCTGCCCTTGCACGGAGGCCGCGGCCGACTGAAGCGGCTCAGGACTGGAAAGAGCGCTGTGGGGAAACCAAGGCAACGACGGGGCTCTCGAGTTTCCTCGTGTTTCGGGTCTTTTTCCGTCTTTGAGGGAGGGCACTCGCCTCCCTGCATTGCTGCGCTTCACATACGGGAACGAGGCGCCGATGCGTTCATTACGTGATTGGAGTGTGCAACCATAGATGTCATTGCCACTTATTGTCTGTCTTATGAATTCCATCGGCGAGGAAGCGCTTGCCCATTTCTTAGCCACCTGACTCCTGAGCCCTGCTGACACAAAGTGTGTGTTTTTAGCCGTTATATTATTGGTGCTTATGCTTGTTTCCGATCATGCATTACTGAATTGAAGCTTATGCTAGAGGAACTTACGCTGACATGGGTTAGAGGAACTTAAGCTAACACGAACACCAATCTCAACAGCAGTGAAATATGGCAGTGCGGATGACGATTATGATAACGGATTTAGCCCAACATGAAAATGTTGATTTATTCTTATCTGAAGTAAATCTTTGGTATAGCGTGCACGGAAGTTTGTTTTAATACGCAATGAAAGCAAACTCGTTTGCTTTCATTGCGTTCCTGGACCGAGGCTATTTTCTCAGTTGCAGACTGTTTCGTCTTATTTCTTTCTGTGCGTCTTATTTTTTAGCGATGAGCAGCCAAAATTGGACACTGGCTTGCCGGTCACGCAATGTTGCGATGGTAAGGGGATTATCCGGCGAAGGTGTTAGAAAAACCCTATATATATAGAGAGAAAGAGAGATATTTTTTTTGTGCTGTTCATTTTATCGTTGATGCGCAATAACCACGGCGCACGTTCAGAATGGGCTCTATTTAGTTTCAATTTAGTATAACCAGTAGAATATTTTATTTTGCTACTGAAGGCGAGTTTCCAAAACATATGCCTATGATGTTTGATTATTGAAATTAGGACTAAGCAAACACATAAAAAAATGTAAATTACAGCAGAAACATCGAAATCTTAGTAATTATTTCATTTTGTACAGTCTTTCTCTGCACCAGCCAGGAATAAACAGCAAGCTATATTTGGTCAACTTTTCTGTATAAGTTCGGAAACAAGTAAAAACGCGTCTTTTGAATTAATTTCGCTAATTTTAACGGTCTTACTCATGTTAACACGTTATAAAACACAGCCTGGAACGTACTTGATTTCTTTTTCTCAAACTGTGGTATTGATGATCTAAATGCAGTAAGCGATAAGCTTGTTCGTGCTGATGCTTTTCACCTGTAATTTTTTGTGTCGTTTTCATTCCTAAAAGGAATGCGTGCTCGGGAAAGTTATACCCGTTACTCCTATATTACTGGTGACTACCTGGGCTTGTATAAATATTTCCAGCTTGCGATGGGTCGATGGTTCTAAATAACAACTTTGTTGATACTGCCACTGAAAACTTAACTTTGATAGTCAAAAAAGGTGTTGATATTTTCATACCTCAGCGTGTTATTGAGTTCTCGAGATACCCGATATGGTTTTCAAAGGAATTGCGTTATTATAGACGCAAAGAGGCGCAGTTTCACTGATATTTTAAATCGATAGTTGCGAATTCATGGTACGCAAAGTTTAAAATTTATAGAACACTCGTGATACAATTGTATGCTCACGAAAAAACGTGCTCACCAACTACAAGTAGAAAATAGTTTGATCCGGAGACTAGACGAGTCCTGTGAATGTTACTCAACAGATATTTTTCGAGTCACTTCCTCGTCCGATACTTTTGATCTGGACTCTCTGAATATCCCGAGTTTAGATACAGTTTAAATTTTGGAGGCGATAAAGAAATGAAAACCAAAATTGTCGGCGCGCTTTGACCGCTTGCCAAGTTTCATCGTGAAGGGCTGTGCCGAAATATTTTCGCCGGTTCTTGAACACATTTTTACTCTTTCTCTGCGGCTGGATGCCTTCCCGTCTTCTTGGAAAATGTCGGCCGCAGTGATTGTGAACAAAAGTTGGGGAGCTTGTGCGCTCGACAACTATAGGCCAGTTTCGATTCTATGTTCCCTTTCTAAGGTTTCCTAAATTTTTATTCATACCCGTCTGTCTCACTACTTCCGACAGGAGATAAATACACACCAGCATGGTTTCCTTAAAGGTTGTTCTGTGGAAACTAAACTTTGTTCTTTTCTTCATTACTCTGTGCCATTCGTTCGCACCCAAGGTCAACTCGACACAGTTGGTTTTAACATGTCTAAGGCTTTCGACAGGGTAAACGGTAAGCCCCTCCCACACAAAACTTTCTTTGTATGGTGTTTTCTCTATGCTTATGAGATGATTTCAGTCTTATCTAACAAATCGCAAAAACAGTGTGCGAGTTTTAAACAGCTTCTCAGGAATTTTTGTTCCATCGTCCGGTGTCTTCTAGGGATCTAATTTGTGATCACTATTGTATAATATTTTTATTTGTGATATTGAAGTATGCATACAAATAATAAGTTGTTATTCGCTGCTGATTTGAAACTGTCGTTACACGTCGGGTTACTCGCTGACTGCATATTTACAAGATGATGTGTCACGGGTGCATGAGTGGTGCTTATCTAATAATCAATCCTAATAAAACCGTGGTGTTATCAATGAATACAGCACTGAAACCAATTTTTAACGACTACGTTCTCGGTACCTCTCCCACTTCACGCGTCGCCATGGTTTCTGACCTTGGTGTTTGTTTTGATAGCCATCTTTCTTCTTTATTTTTTTATGTGTCCCGCATTGTTAGCTCTGCTTCTAAAAGTTTGACCATGATTTACCGTTTGACGCAGGAATTTACAAATTTCTTGTGTATTATTCGTCTTTTTTGTAGCCTCATTCGTTCCAGTATTGAGTTCGCGAATATTGTTTGGAACTATCTTACATTTCCCGAATCAGAACAAATTGAACATGTTCAGAAGAGGCTCATTTGTACGATTTATGATCAGTATTTCTATAGAAAGTTTTTTTTTTATTATGCCTAAATTCTTAGAAAATCTCAGCTTACAATCTTTATCAAAGAGAAGAGTCGTGCGAGTCGTATTGCTTCTTAATAGAATGATTCACGGTCAACTTGATTGCGGTATGTTATGTTCCGTGAATTTCCAGGAACCTATCCGTGTTAGTAGACATGCCTGTCTATTTTATCATATTTACCAGGACAAGATATGTCCCATTACTCGCATGCTACTTACATTGAATGACGTATCCACTAACTCTGTGGATATCTGTGCTAATTACAAACATTTTAGGCATGAAGTTCAGCATGTTTTTAAACCATTTCTATGAGATTGTATGCGTGGATATATGCATGTTGACATGATTGTATAGCTATCTGTGAGCGTGTTGTATTTTGTACTTAGGTGTCTGACACGAAGACTTCGGTCGTTTTGAGGCACGAAGAACAAAAGAAAAAAAAAAAAAAACCTTCGTTTCAGCTTAAGTCAAGACGCGGCCAACACTACGAGGTAGCTACGAGGAAATTGAATTAATCAGGCAGCTTCAGAAACGCAAGCACTAGGTATTTTTTGTTTATGATTGGTTCAGCGATGATGGCCCAGGCACAGAGCCATTGCAAACACCATGATGGTGAGCTTTCACACTTTCTGATTGGCCCCTTTAGCTCGTAACATCGGTTGCGTCTGAACGTAAGGTAAAACGATCTATAGATAGCACAGACATGCATGGACACGTTACGTAGAGCATACCACGTGTAAATGCAGTAAGTCTGTTTATCACAAACCGCAGGGATGCTCTATCAACAGATGTCGGGCAATCTGAAATGAAAACATGTTTCGATTCTTTTTTATCAAATGACAAGTGAAGCGAAAAGCGACGGAAGACTGAGCAGTCGCTTTACAGTAAAACTTATTTTGGTTCGCGTAAAAAATAAAATAAAAGAAACGTGCTTCAGAGTTAACGAGGCCCCTAGTGCAAGCGGCGGTTTGCGTTGCAGCTGGTTCATCGGAAGACCGTTTTTTTAACATATGCGCACATGCGCTGGGGGTATTTGCACACGTTGCTGAGATCCGGTCGTATTCCGTTCAGTTTCGCACCCGATGTTTCGAGCAGCGTTCCAGTTTTCTACTTGATACGTCAGTGCAGTCGAGTCTCTGCTCCTCGCCATCGACGTCGCTCCTCCAGTCTGAAACCGAACCAAATTGTGTCGTAAGGCTGGGCGACCCTCCGAACTGCTTAAGATCACCTTCGTGCAGAAAGTATAAACATATTTTCTAAGATGAGCGTGACGCTGAAAGCCCACCGAGCAGGTAAGGAATGACGCTTCGCACGCAACGTGTGTTAATGTGTTCTCATATTAATTCCTTTCGATTTGCGGTATCTTTTCTAGGAATGGAGTTTCCTTCGTTGGCGCCCGGAAAACTTCGAGTGTACATCACGAGATTCTGCCCCTTCAGTCATAGGACGCTCCTAATGCTGCGTGCTAAGAACTTAGCGTAAGTCGATTTTTAAAGTAGAGAGTAATAGATCGTTCCCCTAACTTCAACAACGAAAGCCCCGATGCTCCACCTACGCCGTTGTGCATGCATCGTATCGTTATCAAGTATCGTTAGGGAGTTTTAGGGAACCGATTATTGCAGATCCGATACGGTGCGATGGGCCCCTCCGGTACCAACTGCGCATGCGCATGTGCGACTCTTCTTTAGTAGCACATGCGCAGTTCGTATCGGAGGGCCCATTGTACCGTATCTGATGTGCAGAAATCGGTTCCCTAAAACTCCCTGTTATCGGAGGTACCGGAACGATCTACTACAACTCTTTATTATTGTAGCCCCATCCGTTTCTTCACGAAGCTCATCAAAGGTTATTTCACCGTGTCGCGTTTACGAAGCATCGCCTGTGCGGGAGGTGAACTATCCCAAGACGACAGTATGTAGCAGTTTCGCTGAAAGAGAGCAAAAGATGATACCGCCTTCCAAGCAAAAATGATTAAAAGGTGTCGTGCACCGCGACAGGTTAAAACACGTAAAAATGCTCAACCCTACCTACTTACGTGTAAGTACTTTCTGAAAACTCCGAATGGAAATATCTCTTTCTATTAATTTTTGTATTGAATGATTTTTTCGTTCAGATCAGATAAGGAGGTTGTAACAATTACTCAAATAAATTTAAAAAGAAACTGAAAAGAAACAATGCTTCGAATTTTTATTATAATTTTGAGGACCAACTTAAGTTGACAGACTTAAGTAATAAAAAACACATAAAAAATGACAGGTGAGAAGGATATTTTTTTTAACTGTTAGTGTTTGTAATTTCGAACAGGTGAAATTAATATAAATTTACACATTTCAGAAGTCAATATTGAGTAGGGAATGCATCTAAAGGATTTCAGGTGTTTTCACATTTTTTATGTATTTTAAGTTCACGTCTCCAAGAATTCTAGTCAACCAAGTGAAGCCAGTTCAACTTCCTCGACAGAGCGATGTCAAAAAACAAGACCGAGGCGACTGAGCGGCTGAGCCTGACCCTCCCAAAATGCAGTGCACAGGGCTTTTTTTCTATATGCACAAACACGTGGTCATGACGCCGCGCCGTGGTGATGGTGCTACTATAAGGAGTATTCACTGGGCGCCATATTTGTGGGTGATGTCTAGAGCGCATGCTCTGAACGAGCCCACTTTAATAGGCTGCTAAGACCGGTAATCTTGAGGGTGCGGAATGCACGTTAGAAAAGAACTGTGGAAGCTCGCCATCAGCCCGCGCTCAGCAGTCGTTCACACAGCTATGGGCGCCAGTGAATACTTCCTATTGTCAGGCCGCATGTACGGGTTCCCCAAACTCACGCAAACCTGGCTCCTGCGCACGCGCAGTAAACGCTATAAAAAAACAAAAGGGGGAGGGGAGAGGGGGGGGGGGGGTATCAACTTTTTGTTCTCACAAGGCAGCTGCGTGTGTGCTCTCTTTTCTCGTATGTTTACTTTTATGAACCTTTCTTTTATATCAGGCACGAAGTGGTAAACGTTGATCTCAACAACAAGCCAGAATGGCTTTTCAAGCTGAACCCCGCCGGCACAGTTCCAATCCTTCAGCAAGATGACAAGATCCTCTACGATTCCACGGTTGTGCCTGAGTACGTCGATGAAGCCTATGGTCAGGAGAAGCTAATACCCACCGACCCCTATCTCAAGGCGAAGGAAAAACTTTTTATTGATGCTGCTACCACGGTAAGGGATATTCAACTTCTATCTTACGTTTACATGTATTCGGCTCGGCAGGATGTGCCGATACTATGTTTGCAACTTCTCTGATTTTGCAAGCGGTTAGGAAATTTGAAATGCTAGGGGAGGTGGCCGGTGTTAGGCACTCCACCGTTGTCAACATAGCGAGTTCCGCGTTTGCTGAAGGGCTTCATACCTGAAGCCAAGATATTTTTGTTTGTAGTTATGAGCCTTGATTTAGACAACTGTATAAAAAAAAAAAATTGCAGCTTTATCGTTTCCAGCGAATTTGTGGTTGTTAAGAAAATATTTGGTTTTATTAGGAAGGAAGCGTCCAACGTAACATTCAACGAGAAACAATACGTTTATATGAGACGACAAAGCCTCCGAACAGCCTAGTCGCGGTTTTGTGACTCTGAGCTTATTTTTCGTAAATTGGCCAATTTCATATAATTTTAATGGGCATTCCAGCCGTAAGCATTGTTTATTAAACTTGGCAACTTCACCTGCGACTCTGAACACCAAGAAACAGACGTTGATGGCCGGTAAATTGCCATTACCGTCGCAACCCGATGCCATTCCATTCTTAAAGCCACCCGCCACCATCGAACAAATACCTTCCCAAAAACAAGGTAAATCACCTTCACTAAATGAAACTGCACCCTCCCAAGGGCTGGCACCGACGCACCCACCTACCACTCACCGGAAGCCGTCCTTCCCATCAAACGGCAGCACGTTGAAGGCGCACGCAGACTCGACCGGAAGACGTGGGATTCTCCTTCGGAAGGGGCGACATTGACTTACTCATTAGAGAGAGGTATGGACGATGACGATGATGACGCGGGTTTCACCATCGTCTTTTGTAAGAAAAACCGACTCAGCAGGTATCCCAAAACTCTTTCATCCGACGTCCAAGGAGAATTCCTTCTGGAAGATGAACCCCATGTCCTGGCAAAATAAATATTGCGCATTGCACAGGAGAAGATTTTATCACACAGAATCGCCAAGGGTGGCAGCCTATCGGTCAGTGTAGCGTCCCCTCCCGCGGCAAATGAGCTGCTTGCGCAGACATCCCTCGCGGGAATAGAGGTAAGGAAAACCACTCCAAGGACGTCCTCCGAAAACATGGCAAAAATCAAAGGAGCACTCCAATACTCCGATAGTGATCTATTGGAGGACTTAAAAAACGATGTTGTACTAGTTGTCTCTGGCCCGTCTCGATGATAGAGTCATACTTTGCTTCACGCAAGACCCACCAATGCACCCCCCCCCCCCCCCCCCCGCCCCGCCCCAGGGGATACTTGTGGCTCACCAGCCATCCAGTGGAAGAGTACCCATTCAATGCTACCAATGTCAACGATTTGGACATATTGCCAAGAACTGCCGCGGTTCCCGCCGTTGCAAAATATGTGCAGGTCCACATCATCATCAAGAGTGCAGCTCACGATCTGAACCTAAATACGCTAACTGCGGCGAAAGTAACGAGGCGACGTTTTCCGACAGCTCCAGTAAAAAAGCGACGGCAGCTGTAAGGAAAAAAGAAATCCTAAATGGTAGAGTGCCTACTCGACGATCTCCGCCATCAAATCCAAAGATGGTGCGAACACCTGTAACTCCAAACGACGAAAAATCGTCGACATCCAAGCCTACGTATTCAGGCGTGCTACATTGATGACAAAGTGAGAGAAACACTGTTTCAAGGAAAGAAAATGGACCCATGACGACAGCGCCGTTTGCTCAATCCGAAAAGCGAGAGTCAGGACCTCCAATGCCAACCGCGTCTGTTACCCGCAGCGCTTCACGACCCACTGCATCGCAAGTGACACCCTCAATGAAGACGCCGTCTGCTACATACCGTGAAGATTCCCAGGCCAACGCTAACCACCAAGAAACTGATCAACAATCTCTCCCTCGGCTACTGTTTCTGGCAGTGAAAGCGACCATTAGATCGCTAGCAAACGCTGTTAACATCTCAGAGGTAAAGTCGCTCCTTAGTATGGAACCCCTTCTTCTGGGGAGAGGGGTCCCTGAAATGTAATGAATAGCGTGTACACCGAAACGGCAATCTTCCAATGGAATGCGAATTCCCTCCAACTGAAATAGGAGATTTCCGGAAGCTCGTTGCGCAATAGCAGTTCCCTGTTCTGGCAATATCTGAAGCTCACATGGATGCAAAAATTCAGATACCTGGCTGCCTCGCATATTGCTCGGGACGTCGGGATGATCACAGTCGAGCAGTGTTCTGTGTGAGGAGAGACATACCATCAATTATTGTGAGCTCATCATTATCTGAAGCCCCAAATGACGTCACGTACGAGGTCACGTTTGGTACGACTGCAATAATTATAGCTTGCGTATATATAGACCCAGTAACATCGGTGACGGAGGAACATGTAACATCAAATATTCTCGAAATTGAGTGATCCCTACAGTTTATGTGGGGATTTTTAATTCGCAGCATGCATTTTGGGGAAGCGCACAAAATTGTAGGAGGGGGAAGCTGATTGTCCATAGTATAGAGAAATGTAATCTATGCGTGCTAAATGACGGCTCTCAAACATTTCTTCGTGAATGAACTTATTCAAGTGTTCGGAGTTTGACAATTTGTTCTCAAGACATTTTTCCGGATTTATTATGGTGTGTTGATATGGAAGGGATCATTTGCCTATATTCGTCCGGCTCAGAAAGGTAACGAGACTGCGCAGTGGGCAACGTAAGAATAAAATTTCGAATTGGCGTATGTTTCTATCTTTGAATACGCTAAACTGTAAAAAAATTTTCATAAGTTTGATGACTTTAATTCGATCGCGAGGGACAATTTTGAACGCGCAACAAAATGAGTAGATATTCCATCGGACTATAGAGGTGTTGATGCTTCATACCAAAAACTTATGGCAATATGACGCAGAGCCGAACAAAGATACCGTCGCTCAGGATGGATAGAGGACTATAAGGAGGCACAGCGTGTTCACGCCCTTATACCTACGTAAACCTAGGCAACTTACCAAACATCGATACGACAGCTCTGCTAAGATATCGGCTGTAAGTGACGTCACGAGGATCTGGATTATTATTACAGCTCTTCAGGCGCCGGCTGTTCAAGAGTACCTGCTTCAAGCAATGGTCCTATCCTGGGGCGTGTGAGAAGTTGCAATATAGCAAATGAGTTTGGCAAAATATTAGTTCGACCAAGCGCTGCATCTCGAACACTTAAATAATTCGCCTCGCGTGTCATCGTCGAACAAGCAGTTGATAACGAGTTTACATCTTGTCATTCGGAGCTCCATTGTGTTTTCATAATGAAAGAATTCCAAAATGCACTGAGATTGACCCGTCGGGGTAGGTCACCTGGCCCGGACCTGATCCCGTGGGATGAATTGACCGACATCAGTCCACGTGCGCTGAACCTCATTTTGAGCACGTTCAACTCTCTGTGGATCAAGGAAAAAATACGAGACCAATGAAAAGTCGCTAAGGTCATACCGATCTTAAAGTGACACTGACAGGGTATTTATGCACGCCGAGGTTTTTAGTTGTACATGACATATGAGAGCCCAACAACCCAGAACAGAATTTGCGGCTCGAAATTCGGTTTCTTTCCGCCCGAAGACCGCCGATCGAGAACTGGCCGGTTTGAGTCACGCTCACTCTCTTTGCCGTGGTCACGGGCCGTTTTATGAGGTTCCGACACAACCACCAAATTGAATCAAAGTCGTGGGTCATTGAAGGCCCATACATAAAGCAGAAAAACAAATTGAAACCCATTTTTTATGGCTTCGTAAAAATTGCAAATTCGTTGATTGAAAAAAAAAAAGTTGCACAGAGAACCGCACGCATTCTGTGCATCCACTGCGTGATTCTCAACATGGCGTCGTATCGCGTATCCTGGGACTCGCGGGCTGGACGGCGATGGCAGCGAATGACAGGCGTGGGACCTCTACTTAAGAGTTGTCGTTTGCGGTACCGGCAAATCTCTCTTCATTCGAAAGTACAATTTTGGACCGATCAAAATAATTGGGACTCATTCCGTACGACACGCCCGACCACAAAGCCGATTTACACGAAGACATCGCCGAGCCGTCGCCCCTTCTCGTGGCTGAAGACATCGCTCGCGCAAATGTCAAGCACGAAGTGCATACTTAGATTTGAATATGCACGTGTTCGATGTCTTTACTATGTGCGAAAGCGGTCAAAGCGTGGCGCTGCCCGACTTCGAGGCTAAGGAGGGCCTTTGCTGGAAGGAAATGGGCAGCAAACTTTCCGACCTACAGTAGACCGGCTGCATTACTACTAAGGTAAGAGTTCCCCCGGTAGCTCAGTGGAACGGTGTCCGCTTCACGCGCAGCGTGCTCGGGTTCGATCCAGAATGTGGGCGTACTTTTTCTTTTTTTGTCAAATTTCTTGCGATATTTGTACAGTTTTTTCAGAATTATCAGTGAAAATAAACAAATCTGGGTGAAACGTCGCTGAACTAAATGGTATGAGATTTACCTTTTAACACCTGCAAACTCAATGTAGTCACCTTCCACAAAATGCAAGGAGCATATAAATCGGACAGCTTCCGCTTTCCAAGGCTCCCATAACTGTTCTGCAGGAATTGCAGCCAGCCGTTGGTACCGATCCCCTTGATCTTTCGGAAACTTGTACAGTCTCTGCCGCATAATGCCACTTTTGGGTGCAGAATGTGTGAGGCAGCACTTCACGCAACATCTTGGGGGCATTCTTTTCGGAGCCGGTCACCGGTATTCACCACGGGCACTCCCCAAGCAGCACCAGAAAGTGAATTTCGATCGGCCGACGGTTGGCCAGTGTCTGGACAGCTTGGCCACTTTAAGTGCTTGGCCACCGGAGACATAAACAAGGCCGGCAAGAGTCCGGCCACAAACTAGTTGTTTTTAGCTTGTCCGCCGGAGACATAAACACTGCCGGCAAGCGTCTGGCCAGAAGTGCTGATTTTCAGCCTGGCCGCCGGAGACATAAACACGGCCGGCAAGTGTTTGGCCAGC